GGCAGGACGTGACTAATTAGGGATGTTTGCTTGGAAGTCGGAGTGCAGCTGCCTGAGAGGCAAGGAATTAACAGTCTGCATAAAAATAAGCAAGGTCTGTAAAACACATATGCATGCAAAACAAAAGTTCTGGAACAAGACTGTGACAATACGCTCGGTGACTTCAGAAGGTCTTTCCTTAACCTACTTTTATTTCTTTGTATTTTGAAAGTATACAGGAAAATAGGGATTTGGATACATTCTTTATTTTAAGTAGGCGAAATGAACAAGCATTTAATTCTCCTGGGATGTTGGCGATATCACACACTAAAACTTTTTCCCAGACGTTAAGTGTTAAGGTACAGAGATAAGACTGACCAAGCAGACTTACTGACTGGAGATTTGCACACCATCTGTTGGTGTCAGAAATGTTATCTCCTAGCCAGACTTTTAGGAGCAGCTAACTCCGGCTAATTGTGTTTAATTCCCCCTGAGGTTACCTAACTCGACGGCAGGTCCGACGGTCACTATTGACACAGTGAGCGGAAAGTGTTGGCAGAAGAATTGACACCGTCTGATTTTATTGTGAAGTAGACTGGAGGTGTGACTAGGCCTATTAGCTGGGACCAGCTTAATTGAACCAGGAGATCCTAGCGTGGGAATTCAAACTTGTTGTACAGTCACTGACTGACAGGGAATATACACCCACAGGGGAGGAGCTGTGATATCCCGTAATGAGAATGATTTTAGGCGTAATGTAGGAGGAGCTTGATAAAAGTTATAAAGGGGTGAACTATAGGTCTGGTAAATGAGATCCTGTCGAGCACATGCCATCTGTTGGGCTTAACCTAAGCTTGAGACAGAACTTTTGGCATCGTGGTTTCATTTTTCCAGTTCCCACATTGGGCAGGGACTAGTAGGCATCCATTATTTGCCGACCGTCGAGTGTAACGACCTGCAGAAAGCAGTGAGGACGACAAACTGGAAAAGATAGGCAGGGTCTCAAGCCGAGAACTGTCCTGATGAGCTAAGTTATGTACAACTTTAATGTCATCTATAACATCATCCCAACTCTACTAGCCTAAACAAGTTCATTTTATTTTAGTCAGATTTATTAAATAAATCTTTTTGATGTTGTTACACAGAGTTAAGTAAATTGTGTACTTAGGTTCAAGTGTCTTTGTGCATATTAGTTTACTTCAGCTAACAAATATTTAAATCACTTGATGGGGGCTTTTAAGTAATGCCAGGAAAGGAGACCAGTCGCAGGGGTTAAATGAGCACCTGGATTATATCACAGTGGGTGTATCCAGATATCTATCTATCCCTTCTCCTTCTCCTGTGGATACAAGTACAGCAACTTTCATTTCATGGAACGAGCCACTCGCTGTTTTCTTGGCTATCCAGGACTGTCTAGGATCAACATAGCTTAGATAATAGTCCAGTTTCTCACGTGGGTGGGCATTGTTAAGGTTCAAACCCACACCCTCACTATATCAGTGTATTTACTCACGTGGGCGCGCGACAATTGCGGATCTCGTCCGGGATTTTATAACATCAAGCGACAATTGGAGATCTCGTCTGGGAATTTATAACATCGAGCGACAATTGGGGATCTCGTCCCGGCATAGAACCCAGCGACAATTTGGGTATCTCGTCTCGGGGTTTATAACATCATGTAACCGTTGTGTCGCTCTCTAGAATTAAAACCTGACACAAGTGGCGTCCCGCCAGCGATCAAACCCGGCAGACCCTAGACTAACGAACAAGAAGTTTAATTTCATAGATTTCATTTTAACTCTTCATCCAGTTCCTAGACTAAACTTATACTTAGTAATTGGTAACTGGGAAGATTAAATTATAATAACTGTAAAAGTAATTAATTGATGAAATCATATGAGTTAACTGTCTATCATTGAACATTTCATGAACATTGATTGTTTAATCTATAGTGCTTAGTTAGAGTTGATGAATTGATGATTTTTTTTGCTTGCATATTTCATTTGATATAGATTGTAGAACATATTACATGCTGACATCATATCATTGAGATTAATAATTAGTGACTGAGTGTAACATCGCTTTGATCATTTATAGGTTTATACTTTTGCTGCTATAGTATTCTATAGGCTGTTAATCTGGTAGGCTGCTTTGCATCATATACATCTTTGTGCGGCTGTCATAGTCTCCTCTGGTGCCAAGTTCACTGTACTTTGCTCTGACATATCCTTCTTATCCTACCTCGGGGAAGTATTACATTTATCTCTAGATAGAATGGACTTACGTACCGAGTACCAAAAAGATGTAAGAAAATTCGGGATAGCTGAGGGTAGAGTAGGGGCACAGTTAGAAACATATATTAAATGCCAGATGGATACTTTTGATTATATGGTTGCCCGTAATGCTGCAGAGAAAAAGCGCCAGTTGGAGCTAGAAGAATATAATAGGCAGGAACAGCTTAGGAAAGAAGAGTATGAAAGAGAGGAACAGCTAAGGAAAGTAGAGTATGAAAGAGACATACAGCTTATAAGAGAAGAATTAGAAAGAGAGATAGAGTGTATTCAGGAAGGATTTGCTGAAAGGATGCGGCGTAAGAGTGAAGAAATTCATCGAAAACTGCTACTTGAGAGGGCAGAAAAAGATAGGATAAAACAGCAAGCAGAAAACATTAGCGTTGAGGAAACTGCGAGTATATGCGAGGAAAAACCATTACCTCAGGCTGAAACTCAAGCAGATATGGTGGGGGCCCACTATCTAACCATTGAGGTGAGCACTCCTTGGCCAAACTCAACAGCTAAGGAAGAAAACATAAAAACCGGAGGACAGTATCTCACACCTCTTATTCCTACAGAGAAAAGAGGCAACAAGGAGAACTCTTCTTTAGGGATAACCAGATCTACATTGCTGGACCCCTTAACTTCCATTCTTAAGCCTAAAAGGAAAAGATGGAACAAGAAGCAGAAATCTTCTAAAGGGACCAGATCTACATTGCTGGAACCCCTTACTCCCATTACCTCAGACGAGATAAATGAGAGCGAACCTGACAGTAGTGACAAGCGTGATAACGGTTGTAACCGTAGACATAGCTGTTCGACTGACACACCAGACATTAATGAGGACGAGGGCAAAGACTTACCCAACTCCCATATCCCCTTTGGTCCCTTCATGCAAGAAGAGGAATTAAAGCAGACTGATGTAGGGAATAACGCTGAACCTGTGTCCCCTATTTCCTTGGATGCGGCCGCATGCCTAATGGAATGTGTTAGTTCTGACTTTACACCCAAAGGAGTTGACTGCGATGGCGGTAACACACCTCCTGATTTGCTTTCACTGGACTGTGCATATGAAAGCCAGACCAATGTGAATATAGCAGATGAGGAGGGGAGTTCTCTGGACGTCTTGACGATCTTAGAGACTCGACATAAACAGGACAATTCTGCTAGGCCTGTGCACGTTGATAATGGACAGACAGAAGTGTTTGCCATTATCGAAGAAGAAAATACTTTTCGTGAGCAGGGAGACAACTTGTCTCTGCTGCCTTGTACAGCTGGGGCGACAGGGATACTTCTGATGAAGGACCCTGAAGCGGAACAAGCCGTGAATAGTAGGGAACCCCAACATTCTGGTCTTGTAGTACTCTTTGCTTCGAATGAAGTGACAGGGGTATCTCAGCTGGTGGTGGAAACTTCATTGCGAAGAAATCCCACCTTACAGTCTACAGGAAACCCTGAGTTTTTTTCTGATTTGACTGTATACCCTGACTTGATTTCGTGCTCTGACTCTGGACTGATCTTTGTTAAAGACAATTCCACCCTGACAATTTGGCAAGGTAAAGACAGAATGCACCGAAGAGGCAACAAATGGACACTCTTCAGAGAAATTGTTAGTGGTAAGTGGCACTCACTTCGTGGGATCACGATGAGTGAAGATATCCCTCGTTTTACGAGGAGATTTGTAACAGATTTTTCAAGAATCTGTGGACTGAGGAGAAGAGGATCCAACCTGACTGCGACTAATCCTTTTAGTAGAACACTTCAGGCTCTCCCTAGGCAGATAGGGCGCGGCGAAATGAGGAAACGCACAGAGGTTGTCAGTCAACGGCGCAGAGGAGTTCCGTTGACAAAGCATGGATCTTTGATTATCCGATGGAAGGAGGAACCTCCGGACAAAGGGACATTACCGAGCGACTGCTTGGAATACCCGCTCAATACCAGGATCAATGACAGTATTGAATTATCCTGGATGAAAGGACATGGGATGTCTGCAGACGAGTGCAGGAATTCCCACTGCCATAAAGAATACTGGAAACAGAAAACTTATGGGCAGTTATGCAAAGAAGGACTTGAAATTCTTGGAAGCCACAGAGCGTGCTGATGTGCGGTCAGGGTGACCGAACTTAAGGGGGAGGCTATGTGACAATACGCTCGGTGACTTCAGAAGGTCTTTCCTTAACCTACTTTTATTTCTTTGTATTTTGAAAGTATACAGGAAAATAGGGATTTGGATACATTCTTTATTTTAAGTAGGCGAAATGAACAAGCATTTAATTCTCCTGGGATGTTGGCGATATCACACACTAAAACTTTTTCCCAGACGTTAAGTGTTAAGGTACAGAGATAAGACTGACCAAGCAGACTTACTGACTGGAGATTTGCACACCATCTGTTGGTGTCAGAAATGTTATCTCCTAGCCAGACTTTTAGGAGCAGCTAACTCCGGCTAATTGTGTTTAATTCCCCCTGAGGTTACCTAACTCGACGGCAGGTCCGACGGTCACTATTGACACAGTGAGCGGAAAGTGTTGGCAGAAGAATTGACACCGTCTGATTTTATTGTGAAGTAGACTGGAGGTGTGACTAGGCCTATTAGCTGGGACCAGCTTAATTGAACCAGGAGATCCTAGCGTGGGAATTCAAACTTGTTGTACAGTCACTGACTGACAGGGAATATACACCCACAGGGGAGGAGCTGTGATATCCCGTAATGAGAATGATTTTAGGCGTAATGTAGGAGGAGCTTGATAAAAGTTATAAAGGGGTGAACTATAGGTCTGGTAAAGGAGATCCTGTCGAGCACATGCCATCTGTTGGGCTTAACCTAAGCTTGAGACAGAACTTTTGGCATCGTGGTTTCATTTTTCCAGTTCCCACATTGGGCAGGGACTAGTAGGCATCCATTATTTGCTGACCGTCGAGTCGAGTGTAACGACCTGCAGAAAGCAGTGAGGACGACAAACTGGAAAAGATAGGCAGGGTCTCAAGCCGAGAACTGTCCTGATGAGCTAAGTTATGTACAACTTTAATGTCATCTATAACATCATCCCAACTCTACTAGCCTAAACAAGTTCATTTTAATTTCGATTTATTAAATAAATCTTTTTGATGTTGTTACACAGAGTTAAGTAAATTGTGTACTTAGGTTCAAGTGTCTTTGTGCATATTAGTTTACTTCAGCTAACAAATATTTAAATCACTTGATGGGGGCTTTTAAGTAATGCCAGGAAAGGAGACCAGTCGCAGGGGTTAAATGAGCACCTGGATTATATCACAGTGGGTGTATCCAGATATCTATCTACCCCTTCTCCTTCTCCTGTGGATACAAGTACAGCAACTTTCATTTCATGGAACGAGCCACTCGCTGTTTTCTTGGCTATCCAGGACTGTCTAGGATCAACATAGCTTAGATAATAGTCCAGTTTCTCACGTGGGTGGGCATTGTTAAGGTTCAAACCCACACCCTCACTATATCAGTGTATTTACTCACGTGGGCGCGCGACAAAGACCAACGTCCAGAAGTGGACAAACAACCAGAATTTCTAAAGGAGTTTACACAAAATGCTAAGAAAGTAGCTGACAATGTCCATGTATGGCACTGGGAGCACGGTGCAGGTATCAATATGCTGTATAATCTGTTTCTCGGTATATAAGCTATAGCCATTTGAGTTAATCGTTTGTGTCGTTTGCTTCCCACCAAAATACATGACTGACACATTCTGTTTTTCGGGACAGCTTTTTTTTTATATTGCTTTCTTCGAGATTGCTTTCTAGACAGTTGCCGTCCCCTGCTTACGAGTTTTGTCTACATGCTTTACTGATAAAATACAATTGATATGTGAAAGAAGGGTGCCTGGAAGGGCTGAATGTAAGACAGGCCTGCGTGTCCAATTTGTGATCTTTGAAAATAAAATTCATTCGTTGTCTACTCAGATAATGAACCACCACAATCAAAACTATAAGCATGGCACACTGGTCAAAGCTTTGGTTTCTGTCAGCGGTCATCCCGCACAACCAAAATACATTCTACTCCAAGGAACAACCATGTTGGACATGTGCATAAATAGCAGACCATAACAAGAAAACACAATGATCCAAAAGAAAATCACAGACAGTCAACTAAACATAGCCATTCATTGCCATCTTGAAGACAGAAGTTATCTTGGTAAAAGGTAAAGGTAAAGTCGGGAGATGTGTACCGCATCTTTGCACACGGTTATAAACCATAACTGCTCTGCCAGCAGTATGGACAGCTAATAAGAAACTGTCCGCCTGTGTTGCCGTCCGCATGTAACTCTGTAGCTATAGCGACGTTCCTCCATTTACCCCAGAGTGTCAATTCTGGTACCCATTTCCTAGAGAGCCCCGGGAACTGCCCGGTTTCAAACACCGAACGTGGCTGCAGCGAGTCGCAGCTGGATTTGAAAGCGAGCCTCCTATTGACTGCGCTAACGCGGCTCAGTCAGAAGCTTTTAGGGAGACGAGTAGCTACATATTATTATGTTATGAATTTCAGCCCTGGTGACAAGAGAGGAATGGATAAAGTGACATTTGGTAAATCAATATATCAATACAAAACACAAATATGGCTGACCTCATGAAAGAAAGCAGAAAACAAGAAAACTACAGTAGCAGCTGCCAGTTTGGGCACTCCTCGTCTCAGTAGTGGCTTGTAGACATGTCTGGGGAAAAAACATATATAATTCCAGAAAAGATAGGCAATGTAAATATCACAATTATTGGAATGAAAACCTATTAACTGTCTGGCCATAACCTGGGAGGAGAAAGCTGGAACATACATTGACAACTGGTAAGTTGGCTAGTTGGTTGGTGGGTAGGCTGGTTGTCAACTCTTCGGATGACAGACTGAACTCTGTGCATGCGGCTGAAGATGGGGACAGCATTTGTAGCAATGTGCCAAAGCTATAGCGTGTAGACTTAACTCATTACCTCAAGTGTCACTTTTGTCTGTATTTACCACTTATTAGAGTGGCGTGGTGTAGATGAGCGGTTCGCAAGCTTAAGGATTTAGGGCCACATGGCTGGTGCTGCCATAACAGATTGCACAGATTTGAATGTCTAATTTTACCCTGACAGAAAAAGTCCACCTTACTTGGGGGTCAAACCCGGGTCTACCACATGAAAGCCCAGCATTGTAACTGCTCAGCCAGCCGTTCCTCTATCGCTCGCCCGGTCACTCCTCTATCGCTTCCCTGGCTGCTCCTCTAATACCATCTTGAGCCATCAAAAATATTTGTATACAAAAGCCTGGATCAGATTAAGGACCCTGCCAAGCCTTTGATGCATCGGGCATATAGTGCTTGACCTATACACAGAGGATTGACACCAGAAATTACTTGCGACACCAGAAATTACTTGGGACATCAGAAATTACTGGGAACAATAGAAATTACTTGGGACAACAGAAATTACTGGGAACAATAGAAATTACTTGGGAACCAGAAATTACTTGGGACATCAGAAATTACTGGAAACAATAGAAATTACTTGGGACACCAGAAATTACTGGGAACAACAGACATTACTTGGGACACCAGAAATTACTGGGAACAATAGAAATTACTTGGGACACCAGAAATTACTGGGAACAATAGAAATTACTTGGGGCACCAGAAATTACTAGGAACAATAGAAATCACTTGGGACACCAGAAATTACTGGGAACAATAGAAATGACTTGGGACACCAGAAATTACTGGCAACAATGGAAATCACTTGGGACACCAGAAATTACTGGGAACAATAGAAATGACTTGGGACACCAGAAATTACTGGCAACAATGGAAATTACTTGGGACATCAGAAATAACTTGGAGCAAAAGAAATTACTTGGGACACCAGAAATTAATGGGAACAATAAAAATTACTTGGGACACCAGAAATTACTGGGAACAATAGAAATTACTTGGGACACCAGAAATTACAGGGAACAATAGAAATTACTTGGGACACCAGAAATTACTGGGAACAATAGAAATTACTCAGGACACCAGAAATTACTGGGAACAATAGAAATTACTGGGAACACCAGAAATTACTGGGAACAATAGAAATTACTTGAATAGTATGCCCGTGACATGACTCCATCTTACCTCGTGGCAAAACGATGTACTGGAACATTCCAGTTCTGCCAAAACTCAGACACTGTCTCCGCATTCCTGAGAACAAGAAATGAATTCACTTTAAGCCACATGACCAAATTTCACTCAGACAGATCCCATTCAGCAAAAGCAGCTACTAACTGGATATCAAGAGGACTTATCTTATGTTTTTTTTATCCTCCAAGGAAACACAGGCCTTCGAGCAAATAACCACTGACTGTTGTGTCTTGCAACTTTGTCCATGTCCTCTCTATATTTAGTCTCCTTCTGAGGTCCATGTCCTCTCTATATTTAGTCTCCTTCTGAGGTCCATGTCACCTCTATATTTAGTCTCCTTCTGAGGTCCATGTCGCCTCTATATTTAGTCTCCTTCTGAGGTCCATGTCACCTCTATATTTAGTCTCCTTCTGAGAGGTCCATGTCACCTCTATATTTAGTCTCCTTCTGAGGTCCATGTCACCTCTATATTTAGTCTCCTTCTGAGGTCCATGTCACCTCTATATTTAGTCTCCTTCTGAGGTCCATGTCACCTCTATATTTAGTCTCCTTCTGAGGTCCATGTCACCTCTATATTTAGTCTCCATCTGAGGTCCATGTCGCCTCTATATTTAGTCTCCTTCTGGGGTCCATGTCTTCTCTATATTTAGTCTCCTTCTGAGGTCCATGTCCTCTCTATATTTAGTCTCCTTCTGATGTCCATGTCACCTCTATATTTAGTCTCCTTCTGAGGTCCATGTCCTCTCTATATTTAGTCTCCTTCTGAGGTCCATGTTATCTCTATATTTAGTCTCCTTCTGAGGTCCATGTTATCTCTATATTTAGTGCCTTTCTGAAGCTCAGTGTCAGTGATTCTGTCTAAACATGTTATTCTTTTACTCTTATTATATGCAGACATCACGCTGGAAACATAAATATAGATAGCTCAATGTGGAAAAAGGAAAAAAAATTATACTTTAACTAGCAATAATATTTTTATTACATAAATGATTGCTGCCAAATAAGTATGAGAAATATTCTTCTTCTGTCTCTCCGGCTGTAAACTATTGTGGAAAGTTCTGGTTGTTCACTCACTTCTGCGCTGTCCGTAGTTTGTTTCAGAACCTGAGTTTTTCATGCACATCCATTTTACACATCTGGCTTATTTTTATGCAGACTGTTGGTTCCTCGACTCTCAGGCAGATGCACTCCAACTTTGAAGGAAAGCCCGGTGATGAGTCGACTCTTATGACATCTTGTTAGGGAGGCAGTGGGCGTATTCTTGCTTTCACCCATGATGGAGCTCCACAACCGGGGGAGGGGGTTGGGGGGGGGGGGGGGGTGGAATAAAAGGTAAGAATCCACCAATGAAAGTGACAGTTTTCAGACTCCATGGCAACAGGTCTGGCTCTAAGACATGCAGTCATTCTAAGCAGACCAGACAAGCAGCTGAGATGTTTCTGACTTCTTTAGATCTCAATCCTTCATATCTACATTTATTCTCTTTAACATACCTACCAAGCATGCCACAAGAGACAACTAAGGAGGGTTGGCATGAATGCCTACATCATACAACAGAATACTTCAGCAGCAAAACAAAACCAGGAAAGCTAGTAAAAAATTTGCTTGGTGTCAGCTCGTTATTGGTCTATTCTCAACTGGGAGGTGAAAGGCAGAAAAGGCAGATGAAGAAGGTAAAGTAAAGATCCCTTTTCACGCCTAAGGCTCATCGGGTATATGGAAAGAGTGCCCCATATTTTTTACAGACCAATCAGCACTGGATGGGTAATGTGGTCAGCATTAGGCTGTCCGTCTTTACTTTCCCAGGACAGCCACCCTGCTAGCCATTTTAGACTGGGTCGACCTGTGACGTCCCATACCATGATAAAAATCCACACAGCCAGCAATGGGTTTCGATCGTGGTACGTTGGATTACGAATCGGACTCACAAGGCCTAAGCCACAGACGCTGCAGATGAGGTAGCAGGCAGGTAAAAAGTGAAGGAGGAGAAAAGGAGGAGAAGAATATGGAAGATAGAAGGAGAATATTAAAAAGTTAACTTGTCGTAGCAAAGTATAAAAATATGTGTGCTTAATTTATGTGACTGTCTTGCTTTTAAACATGCCAATATAAACAAAGGAGTTTAAATTAAAAAACAAGCAGAGAAGGATACAAGTTATAATGTCTAAGCTGACGTGTGATGTCACAATGAAACAAGCAAGCACTCACCACCAATCCTTGTAGAACTCTCTGTCAGCAAAACGCAAGAGTTCAGCTATCACATTTAAACTTGAGTGAAAGAACCAATAAAAAAACACCAGCCACATCAAGTGGTTAGGAATCTGCCGGGGAAACATAAGAAAAGAGCTGTCATGTGTTTGATGATTTGGATGCATAAATGATAAAACATCAGTTCATTTATATTCATTTATCACGCTCACCACTTGCAAACACCAGTGGAAGGTCACTGCCCAGCTCTGGACTACAGTCCACTGTCCAATGAGTTTTGTAAAGACCCTCTGCTTGCTCCCCGATGTGTCATTCCTGCCAGTATAGAAAATCTACCCTCCTTACTTCTTTTGTTTGGAAGAGCCAAATGTAAGGCAGACCTGCCTGTGGAAGAGCCAAATGTAAGGCAGGCCTGTCTGTGGAAGAGCCAAATGTAAGGCAGGCTTGTCTGTGGAGGAGCCAAATGTAAGACAGGTCTGTCTGTGAAAGAGTTGAATGTAAGACAGACCTGTCTGTGGTAGAGCCAAATGTAAGATAGGTCTGTCTGTGGAAGAGCCAAATGTAAGACAAGCCTGTCTGTGGAAGAGCCAAATGTAAGACAGGCCTGTCTATGGAAGAGTTGAATATGAGACAGACCTGTCTGTGAAAGAGCTTAATGTAAGACAGGTTCTGTCTGTAGAAGAGCCGAATGTAAGACAGGCCTGTCTGTACAATTTGGGATGATTTGAAAATACAGTTTGTTCGTTCATTTATTCTTTCTTCTTTTCTATAATTCCTGTTCCGTCTTTCAGTGTCTTGTGTAGATGATTGGTATTCATGGCTTCAGATATTCCACCTATCACCTACAACCTCTCTAGCTCTGCTTCCATTGTGTTTACCTGAAAGGCCTGTTGGTGGTGCACTACCTTGTGGTTGTCTCAACACATATAAACCCTTTGATCTTTTGTCTCCTGATGTAGATTAGCACTAATTCTGTTCTACCCAGGTTCCTGATATCTTCATTTTCGATTCTGTCTCGTGTTACTGTCTCGTGTTACTGTCTCGTGTTACTGTCTCGTGTTACTGTTAGAATTTGTTGCACACAGTTAATTTCTGTTATTTTAATTTATCCTGCTGCTTTATCCCCTTTAAATGAGAAAGTCTTTACCAAATTTGCTATGTCATAAAGTAGCTTGCTCCCCAGGGCAGCAGCAGCAGCCACTCATTGTCTCACACACCCTTATATCCCAGGCAGAAAATTCATATGTGGCTGATCCGAGTCCTGAAAAAAAAACAGTTTCTACTTTCTGCAGTAGAGGTTGACTGCAGTGAGTCTCTATGACCATTCACGGTCAGTGTCATTGGAATGTACTATTCCATTCCTTCTCTATTTGTTGTCAAGCCAAGTGTGATGTTGCCTTCTCACATGTGATACTGCCTATTTACATGTTGTTGTTCTCAGTTATGACTTGAACAGAACATGATACAGACACATCGTGATTGTAACTGACTTGGAAAGCATGCCAAGGGTGATGAAGACAGGAATGCTTTGTGCAGAGTGGCATGTTTCGCTTTGGAGGTCAAGGGTGAAGAGCATTGTTTAGATCTTTCCCCCTTAGGGAATGCCGGTGTGTTGGGAAGTAAACACGCAAACAAACTGGCTGACTCTGCACAACCATGTGGAACACTGATGCATGATAAGGCAGATGTTGTTAAGGCCTTATGTGAGCACGTGTACAACAGCAAACCGCCAACCTCAGTCTGGTGAGAGTCATGCCAAAGGTGACGAGAGGATCTGGCCAATACTCAATGCTCAGAGAAAGGCAAGATGGACGCATAATCAGAATGCTACTGGCACCATTGGTACTGGAACTCTGCGTTGGTGGCTTAAGATGGGGACTGAGCGCTTATGGGAATGCATGAGTGCTGATATGTTTGTTCTTGAATCTTCTTAACTTGAAGTCAGATTATCCATGATAGGTCAACAATTAAAAGATCAGTCAGTGATGACTGACCTAACATGGATAATCTCAACTCAAGGATAACTGACTGATGGGCAAGACTGACTTATGGGTAAAAAGGATTTATGGATAAGAATGATTTACAGACAAGACTGACTTATGTACAAAAATGACTTATGGACAAAATGACTTATGGTCAAGAATATCTGACTTATGGGTAAGACTGACTAAGGGTAAGAATTATTTATGGATAAGAATGACTTATGGGCAAGAATGACATCATTCCAATGACATATGGACTTATGGGCAAGAATGACATCATTCGAATGACATATGGACTTATGGGCAAGAATGACATCATTCCAATGACATATGGACTTATGGGCAAGAATGACATCATTCCAATGACATATGGACTTATGGGCAAGAATGACATCATTCCAATGACATATGGACTTATGGGCAAGAACGTATTATGGGTAAGAATGATTTTTTAATAAGAACAAACTGCAGGCAAGAATTATTTATGGGCAAAAATAAGAATGACTGACTTATGGGCAAGACTGATTTACGGGCAAGACTGATTTATGGACAGGAATGACTGGCAGACATGAATAAATTACAGACAGACAAGAATGTCTTACAGACAGACAAGAACGACTTATGGGCAAGAATGACTTTGACAGACAAGAACGACTTACGAGCAAGAATGACTTACAGGTAAGAAAGACTTACGAGCAAGAATGACTTACAGGTAAGAAAGACTTACGTGCAAGAATGACTTACAGGTAAGAAAGACTTACGAGCAAGAATGACTTACAGGTAAGAAAGACTTACGAGCAAGAATGACTTACAGGTAAGAAAGACTTACGAGCAAGAATGACTTACAGGTAAGAAAGACTTACGAGCAAGAATGACTTACGGACAAGAATGACTTATGAGCAAAAAATACCTACAGACAAGAATTATTAATGGAAAGAATTGCTTTTGAAAAATTAAGTATTTATGGGCTGGAAAGTACGGATAAAGTACTTACAGACAACTTAAGAAGACGTTCCAACATCTTGAAAGCTTCCATCTCTGCCAGTGGTTGTCTGGCATTGTTCACCGCTGGCACAATCCACTGGATTGACAATTTAAAATATTATTTAAAGGTTGAAAGAACGGCATTCAGTTAAAACTCAGTCTAGTCTATAAAACTTCACTTACCACACTACAATCTCCACCCATCAAACTCCACTAAACACACTCAATCCACCAAACTCCTCTTATCAAACTTCTTCCACCAAACTCCACTTATCACATTCAATTCATCAAACTCCATCTACATAGCTCCACTTATCACACTCAATTCACCAAACTCCACTTATCACAATCAGTCCATCAAACCCCTCTTATCAAACTCCATTCACCAAACTCCACTTATCTCACTCAATCCACAAAACTCCTCTTATCAAACTCCATCCACCAAACTCCACTTATCACACTCCATTCACCAAACTCCACTTATCACACTCAATGCACCATGAGAACTGCTGTATCCAGGGAAGTGAGCATGCATGGGACTTCCTGAACCACAGTGACGTCGACTGTGATAACATAACATACTCCACCCACCAAACTCCACTTATACTCCATCCACCACATTCCATTTACCACTTATCAAACCATATCTATCATACTCCAGCCTTTTATTTTCATCACACACTAGCACAGCCTAGATCAGTGGTTCTCAACCTATCTAATGTCCTGACCCTTTAATACAGTTCCTCATGTTGTGGTGACCCCCAATCATAAAATTATTTTCGTTGCTACTTCATAACTTCAGTGAATATGTGTTTTCCAAGGTCTTAGGTGATCCATGGGAAAGGGTCATTCGACCCACAAACGGGTTGCCTCACACAGGCTGAGAACCGCTGGCCTAGACAGGACAGCCACTTGAGTATGGTTACAACAACAACAACAAAAAAACACTTTTTTTTACGTATGTGCGCATGTCCCTCCCTCTTTCTACCACTGATGCCAGAAAACTCGACTTTCTCAAGTTTTTACCTAGATACACTAACAAATCTTTCATAATCAAATATAAGGTTTCCACAAACCTGCTGAGTGAGAGCCACCAGAAGCCAACACAGAAACACCTGAGAAAGACATATATATATACATTCACTGATCAAACAAGACAACAAGTACAGCAAATAACAGTAAAACTACATCTTGATCGACAACAAAAAGATATCCGAGGGGACCAAATGAAAAATTATTCAACAGTGACAGAAATTATACTAAACATGCCTTTGTATTGAAAACTATCAATAATGTTGTTAGGATGTCAACAAGAGTGATAAGATTGCAACATCCTGACTGACTGAAAAATAAAAAAAATTGAAACAAAACACTGCTCCCTTTTGGTGCATGTAAAAAAAAGTCGGGCAGCCATCTTTAAACTGTCATGACACCAGCACGTTCATCTACACCGAAGCAGTGGCAACTAAGCTGGACACAGGTGGGAAAAGTGGGAATTAGGATGTGCAATGTGTCAATAAAGGGCTATGGTGGTTATCTCAGACGTCTGTGGTAATCATATGGTTAATCTTGGACTTCCAGTGGTGATCTGTAGTGTCACAAAAGACAAAAGTTTTCTGTGTGTTCTGGTGGCAAGGATTGATGATTTTTGTGTGTGTTTCATTATACGTGTACATAAACTATGTAGAAATACACTTCTCGTTCTTCTTAGTTTCCACAAGCTGCAAATTCTGGCAGAAAGCTCTGGTTGTTCATCCACTCCTGGGCTTTGGTCTTGATCCAGACTGGAGTTTTGTGTACACATCCATTTTACAAATCTGGCTTATTTGTATGCAGAGTGATGGTTCCTTGCCTCTCAGGCAAATGTACTGAAGGAAACACTAATTAGTTGCCAACAAATGATATGTTTGCTAGGGGGCAGTGTGTCTTTTCTTTGTTCTCCAAAACTGGACCCCAAGAACCCACACAGGAAGCAACGCACTTGAAAAGATAAGTGAAAGATGCCGGGCAATAGACTGTGCAACACACTGTCTGTATCTGCATTAATCACAAGGAGAACTATTCTTCACAAGCACTTATGTCCCAGAATAAACAGCACTTAGAAGACCCAGGGAATCCCATAACTTTTTTATTTTCTTCCTTTTTCTGTTCCCAACTGTAAGCTCCTGTAGAAATTCCTGGTCGTTGTCATGCTATTTAGACTTTGGCTTGTGCCAGGGCCTGAGTTTTGAGTGTACATCCATTTTACTGATTTATTTGTGCGCAGTCGGTTGTTCCTTGCAGCTCAGACAGTTGCACTCCAACTCTGAAGGCAACCCCCAATTAGTCAACTCTTATGACATGCTTGCTGGGGTCAAGGAACCCACACAGGGATTTTTATTTTATCTTGGAAAAATCTTTTCCACTTGACAGATATCTCTAAACATGCTGCAGTTTTCTCTTGATAGAACAAGGACAATGTTTGTAGTTCATGACACCTGAAGCACTTAGGAGAATGACAATCAGTGTATTCAAGAATCAAGAATTCCAAATACAGTAAATATCCATATTTTGCCTTGCCTGGGCAGTAGCTGTTCAGTTTAGGCCTGCTCTTCTCAACAGTTAAGTCAGAACCAGTTGGAAGAAACAAAGTCCCCATTTCTGGGGACAAACAAGGTCAAGTCAAAACCTTTTAGAAAAGACAGCATTAGCCCTGTGGCCTTGAGAAGGCTACATCTAGTCACTTTCAGCTGTGACACAGTCCCACAAATGATATATTGCTATGCCTGCAGTGATCTGTTCTCGAAAAGCGTAGTTAAACTCCGATGGTTCTAATGTGCGCCCGCACATTGCTCAATTGGCCAGCATATAAATACAGAAACCTTAACCCCCCCCCCCCCCCCGAAAAAAAAGAAGAAAAAAAACAGGCAGGGAGAGGAGTGTGTGTTCCTAATGACCCCAATGATTTTTAAAAAAAAAACCTATCCCTGTAACCTCAGTGATAGAGATCACCGGGTCATGGTATGAGTCACCCAACACATATTGTTCAGCAGGCCTCTGGAAATGTATTCTATTTAATGCTTTAATCTGTTCATGTTTATTGATTCAACATTGTTAAATGCTAAACACAAACATGTCCATACACAAAGGATCAATACCATAATGGGAATATAATGTTTTAGCCATGAGCTGCCACTTGTATGGAGATTTAAGACTTAATTTATGTTCCAGATTATGTATTTGGGACAGAGAAGAACAAAAAAGAAAGAGACGGCGAATAGGTGATATGGGGAAGGGGGAGGGGGGGGGGGGGGGGAAATAGACAAGAAGTGCATGGTGGGGAAACGGAGAAAAGGAATACATACACATGCACACATAAAAAGCTCACCATCTCCAAAAGACGTTTTGCAAGGAAACGCTTTCTAATGCGAGCAGATCGAGGGAAGTTGAGCTCGTAACACAGAGTGGGAGCACACATGAAATATGTCAGATCTGTGGACAAAGGAAACATAACAGGTGGCGTAAGTAATTTTTAACAGATACGGATGATGGCTTATTGGTTAGTTCATCTGTCTGCCGACTAAAAAAACTGCCCAGGCGCACACAAAACCAATGCAATTTAACTAAATTTTTTCAAGAACTGATAATATATTGGCATTTAAAGAAACATGTCCCAGCTGTAAGTGATCAGAGCCGTCTTAACAGCATTCATGACCACTGGACAAACCAGTGCGCTGGGGCCCCTACAACAATCTCTCACAAGAATGACATTTTTACTTATGTCATGACATACACAGATCAGCATGGAGCTCCCATGCCTTGTGGGGCCCCCTGAGGCCCCCCATGCCTTGTGGGGCCCCCTGGCAAGTACCTAGCAAGCCCACTTATAAGGACTGTACTGCAAGTGAAATTAGATTTAGTCTTCATGGCACAACAGGGTAAAACCTTTGCTTTTATTAATTATACCATGATTATTAAAATGAGCTATGCAGACCAGTCCTTGCTGTCTCTTTCCCAGACAGTTGTCATGTTTTCTCTAGCCTCTCTATTTTACGCGGCTAGGCTGATCCTAGAGCAGGGCTATTTAACTAGCAGCTAATGGCCAAAGTGGTCCTAGAGGACTAGCTAGTGGTCCTAGAGGACTAGCTAGCGGTCCTAGAGGCCTAGCAAGGGGTCCTAGAGGTCTAGCTGGTGGTCCTAGCAAGGGGTCCTAGAGGCCTAGCTAGTGGTCCTAGAGGCCTAACTGGTGGTCCTAGAGGCCTAGCTAGTGGTCCTAGAGGCCTAGCAAGTGGTCCTAGAGGCCTAGCAAGTGGTCCTAGAGGCCTAGCAAGTGGTCCTAGCAGCCTAGCTAGTGGTCCAAGAGGCCTAGCTGGTGGTCCTAGAGGCCTAGCTAGTGGTCCTAGAGGCTCAGCAAGGGGTCCTAGAGGCCCAGCAAGGGGTCCTAGAGGCCCAGCAAGGGGTCCTAGCAGCCTAGCTAGTGGTCCAAGAGGCCTAGCTAGTGGTCCAAGAGGCCTAGCTAGTGGTCCTAGAGGCCCAGCAAGGGGTCCTAGAGGCCCAGCAAGGGGTCCTAGAGGCCCAGCAAGGGGTCCTAGAGGCCCAGCAAGGGGTCCAAGCGGCCTAGCAAGGGGTCCAAGCGGCCTAGCAAGTGGTCCTAGCGACCTAGTGGTCCTAGCGGCCTAGCTAGTGGTCCTAGCGGCCTAGCTAGTGGTCCTAGCGGCCTAGCTAGTGGTCCTAGAGGCCTAGCAAGTGGTCCTAGCGGCCTAGCTAGTGGTCCTAGAGGCCTAGCTAGTGGTCCTAGCGGCCTAGCTAGTGGTCCTAGAGGCCCAGCAAGTGGACTGTGGATCACTCTCAATTGTATTGTATTATTGATCTTTCTTTGCTAGGGGCTGGGGCCTCTGGCTCCCCAACTTCAACACTTTGGCCCCTGAGTGAAGTGAACAGCCCTGCTCTAGAGCCATGCTGGTGATAAATATAATACTGACCGTGCTAGGGACTGAACATGTACTCCACCTTTGGAGAGATTATAAGCATGCAGGTAATGAGAACAGGGCTGCCCAGACTTAAGGCCAGAGTTTTGCTTTGAGTAACCATAAGCTGAACTGGTCATAAGTGAAATTTAGATTTTTTCTACAATATTTTCATTCAAATGGGTTACTAAATATTCTACATAAAAGAACATTTCAATCTATGTACGTATAAATATTGTACATGATATGAAAAATAGATGGGTACTCTATGGCATCAGTTGTGGGAACTTTTTGACCCTGTCAATGTAGTTTTGCTTTCATTGACTATAAACTCCTGCACAAAGCCCTGGTTATTCGTCCATTCCTGGACTTTGGCTTTGCTCCAGGACCCAAGTTTTGTAAGTGCATCTGTTTTACGGATCTTGCTTATTTGTATGCAGACTGCTGGTTTCTTGCCTCTCAGGCATAAGCACTCCAACTTTAAAGGAAGCTCCCAAATAGTCGACTCTTACGACTTGCTTGTTGGGGAGGCAGTATGTCTATTCTTGTTTCACCCACATTGAGATCCGGAACCAACACGGAAGAGCCAATGTTGGTTATCTTCACTTCTTTATTTAGTTTTGTGTTCATGTCACGTAGGTCAAAAGTGGCACAGGTTGTAAGTCGAGGAGAAGGTGTTCACTGCTTTCCTTTACCAAGACAGAACCAAGATTACATGTCCCCAAATTCTTAAGTAGAACACAAGTGAACAACTCAAACCAACCAGACTGATCAGCAGCAACAATAACAGACAAACAGTTCAGAAGATATACATGAAACATGTTAGGAAATGCTTCACAAAAAAGAAACGAAAACAACTGTTCCAATTCAGAATAAAAAATATTACAAAAACACTTTCAAACAATGACCAATTTTAAAAGTAAACACTAAAAAAAACCATACAATAATTACCTCAATTATAATCTAAACCTACGATTTTGAAAAAAGCAAAATTAAATGATTAAAAGCGACTGAAAAAATTAATTAAATTCAAAGCTTCTTATAGTCCATGTCATGTGGTGCTGGTAGTCATTCTCTCCCTTGTGCACTTGTAATTGATTATGACACATGATCTCCCATGCCATGATGGCTAGCCTCTTCTCTCTTACTCTCTCTCAGCCTCTTGTCCCCTCCAACCTATCCACCATCATGATGTACTCCAGTCTTCTCCTTCTCATGATGTGACCAAAGAATGTAGATTGTCTACTCATGAGGGTAACCAACCTTATAAAACCTCAACTCTCTCTGTCCCAAGCAGGACACTGTTATCACGTGTACCAATCAACATCTTATGTTTGGTGTGCACTGTATATTTTGCCCCTATGGAAGAAGAATACCCATGAGTTTGGTACTGCCATTCTAACTCGTCAGACATAAGCTAGGACCTTGTGGGACTGATAGCATTAAAGAATGCAACAGTTGGGTCTGATCTGACCAAGCAGTTAGAAAGAAGAAGCAGAAGAGAGAAAAAAAAGGAGGAGGAGAAGATGCAACAGAAGCAGAAACATTAGAATGCTAGGCTTTCAACAGGCAATTTCATACTATGTCCTAGTAAATGATTTACTCCAGCTGCCCAGTGTACCCACAACCTTCTCTCTCAGAGACCAGATCTTGGCTGTCTCCATGATCTTCCTGTACAGTCAAAGATCCACTGGCCTGCATCAAACTAGGTTTCACACTGTATCTGAGCAATGAAGAGAATGGTGCTGTGAGGAGTGACCAGGGGATCTGACCAATGCTCAAAACTCAGGGGACGGACAAACAATCAGACTGTTAATGGTATCACTGGAACTGGAAACCTGCACTTGCTGCTGAAGATGGGGGTCAGAGCACTCATGGGAATGTCCCAAATGCTATAATGATGGTTCTTAGCTCATCCAAGTACTCTCTTTTCTGTCACTCAATGAAAGCCCTATCAGGTGTTTTCTCATTACGCCCATTTAAAAGTGTATAGTATGTTGATTTCCCTAGTGAGGAGATCAGAGAAATGTCTGGAAAAATAGCTGTATCAAATACAATAAGGCAAAAGGTGGAGCTATACTGTGCACACTCTTGAGACAAAATGAGCAAAGAATTACAAAACAGGCACTGAAATTGGAAACAAATGGCCTGAGAAAAAGATGTCCATGGAAAATATTAAGAAGAACATTATTATGAGAAGCTAAAAATGCTGGACTGAACTCCATGTCAGGAATTAAGAGAGCTGCAAGCAATAGTGTCGAGTGGAGTATTCAAACACAGGCCCTATATGACCAACAGCACACAAAGGATGATGATGAATCCCTCTTGATCTATTCTTCTTCTTCTGCAGCATTCCGAGCCCTTGAGGTTCATTGCTGCAGATATCACCCGCCTCCATTCTTCTCTCTGGTTGGCCTTCTCTTTCCAGTTGGTAACACCAAGTGTGTGCAGGTCTGTCTGGATATTATCTCTCCATCTTGGTCTTCGTCTGCCTCATGGTCTAAGACCATTCATCTCCCTGGTGTATACAGTTTTTACTTCTCTGACATTCTTTCAGTATGCCCCTATTAGCTCTCATGATGCCTGTGATCAGTGGTGATTTAAACAGATTATGAATTTCGTTGTTGCTTCTCACTCTCCATTCACTGCTGTTTGCATCTTTGATGCATCCACAGATTCGTTTAAGACTTTTTGAAAACCTGTAATAAGGCTTCATCTCTTTTAGTTGTGCTCCAAGTTTCAGAGCCATATAACACAACTGGTCTTATCAACATTTTATATATTTTGATCTTGGTGTTGCGAGATCTATTATTATAATAAGTCTTATTATTGTTTGGGAAAGTAGGTATAATTCAAGCACATCCCAGCGTTCGTAATTAATATTTACTTGTTTATTACTATCAATTAAATTATGCATGAATGAAATAATGGCTAACAGTAGTGAGTCTAGAAGGACAGAATGTCCGATAGGCCTGTGTACCCAAATATTAATTCCTTGAAAACAAAGTCTATTAATTCTCACACAGTGATTCTCAACATTTTAGAGTGGCAGCAGCAATGGCACAATGACTAGATGCTTGCTACTTCCCCAAAAGTCTTGCATTCAAATCTGTACAGAGATGGACATTTTATTCCTGGCACAAATCTCCAAGACTAAAATCAGTACCAAGAAATGACTAGGAAATTCAAGTAAAGCTGACCGATGTTATATTGACCCAGTGAGTGTTGATTCATCCATAAAAACACGAGTCTGGCACCATTTGGCTTATGGTGTCAATGACATTAAATATGTTCTTTACTTTGCAGCTCACCTGAACTGATATCTACAATCAGGTTTTATATATTATCTGTAACCTAGAACACAGTAAGCAAAACAATAGTTATAAGTAAACTTACCCCTGATATTCAGGTTATCTGGGTATGTCTGCTTGCTGCTCATGCAACTACCATCAGTGTCCTGGTTACCTGTAATGTATAAGTGGTGCCTTATGCAATATTGCAGGTGCAACTGCTGATTTGCTGCAACTGCTGCTTCTGTCGACAATGAACTGCAATGATCTTGGCAGACTGTTTGTGATGTCTGTCGTGAGAATTAAAGGAGTGTACATGCTACTGGCTTTGCCAAGACTGCAGTCTGTTTCAATTTGTTCTCAAGGGACAGTGATAAGCATTCTGTGCGCTGGCACAGGAACGGAGCATTCTGTGCGCTGGCACAGGAACGGAGCATTCTGTGCGCTGGCACAGGAACGGAGCATTCTGTGCGCTGGCACAGGAACGGAGCATTCTGTGCGCTGGCACAGGAACGGAGCATTCTGTGCGCTGGCACAGGAACGGAGCATTCTGTGCGCTGGCACAGAAACGGAGCATTCTGTGCGCTGGCACAGGAACGGAGCATTCTGTGCGCTGGCACAGGAACGGAGCAATTATGGGATGACCCATTTGCCTTGAAGCTGAAACTCAAGACTACTACTACTTCTTCATGCTTACCAGCTGTCAGAGGGTTCTGGTTGTTCATCCCCTTCGGAACTTTGGTCTTGTTCTGAAATTTAGTTTTGAGTGCACATCCATTTTACAGATCTGGTTTCTTTGTATGCAGACTATTGGTCTGCCTGTCAGACAGAGATACAAATTTAAAGAAAAACCCAGATAATCTGCCTCCTACAACACGTTTGTTAAGGAAGGCAGCATTTTTGTTGTTGCTTTTTTCTAGTTCTCCCAAATCGGAGTGAGGATGAACTGTGGCTTTACTAACAAACAAACAAATCTGTGAAATATATTACCATATCTTTTTACTATTTCAACTAGCTGTCCGTACTGGTGGCCGAGCACTTATGGTTTATAACCGTGTGAAATGATGTTGGTTCACATTTCCTGACTTAAATTTTTTTTTCTTCTTCACTATTTCAAACTACCTTTTAGCCATATTTTTTTTTTCACTTTTCACATCAATCAATCATCATCCTCCCATAGGAGGAAAGCCCTTTGCAGAGGGTCACTCCCATCATGACTTCTGGAAACATTGTTGGACCAATGAAAATTCTACTGCATCAGGAAACAAAATCAATAGCACATTAGCAGAAGGACAGACAGACAGGAAAAACAATCAAGGGAAAGTGGTGAAGAAGGAAAAATGGTGAAGAAGGGCTAATGGTGAAGGAGAAATGATGATGAAGTGAAACTTTTGAGGAAGGGACAGTGGTGAAGAAGGGAATATGGTGAAGAAGGGAATGTGGTAAAGAAGGAAAGGTGATAAGACAAATGGTGAGGGAGGGAAAGTGGTGACAAAGGAAAGACAGTGAGGAAGGGAAGATGGTGAGGAAGAGAAGAAAGTAAATAAAAACTGGCTAGGAAAGGAAGAAAATGAAAAAAAATATTTGTGGGAAAAGGAAAAGCAGTGAGGGGTGAAAAAGAAAAGGCAGTAAAAGGATTAAGGCATTATAGGAGGAATGGCAAGAGGTTCTAAACATGGAAAAAAAGGATAAGGTGGTGATGAGAGGCACGTAGTAGGGTAGGAATGTGCTGTGAGGAAGAAACTGGTTTCCCTCATCTCATAATTTTTCATCTACAGTGAATAATAACTTATCTTTTCAAATCCCTGTCATCACCGTCTCCCATACGAATAAATTTACTACACAATCTTAAGATCAAATAAGGTAAATTGCATTACGTAAGTCAACATTTTAGCCCAAATTTCTCAGTTAAGCCTACATCCTCTTCTTCTGCTGCTTTCTATCCCCCAATGGAGCACAGGCCCTCAACTAATTCCTACTAAGCCCTTCTATCCTTCACCATTGCATGCCACTCACCCTATGTCCTTCCCATCTTTGAAACTTACACTCTCTAGCTCCCAACTCATGTATTTTTTTATTTCGCCGCCTCTGTGGGTAACAGTGGAATGACATTCTAGTTATACTGTTCTCGGGTATTCTCAACGTCTATCCAACACCAGTACCTTTTCTTCACCTCTTAGTCCACTAGATCTTGTTTAGTTCTCTCCCAAAGCTCAACTTTAGTAATTCTATCATACTATTTAATTGCAAGCAACACAATTCTGAGACAGGCCTATGTCTCTACCTAACATATTTTATACCAGCCAAATAAGACAACTCCTAATTTTGGATATATTTTTATACTTGAAAACTCAAACAATCCACAATCTACAGTATATTTATGAAAACACCAACTGACCATTCATCATGCTCCCACAGGAGGCTCTCCTTTTCAACCTGTCTGTTGCATAGAGTTCCCGACACCAGTAGTTGACGTGAGCATAGGAGATCAGCTTGAGGAAACAGGTGGTCACTGTGCCCAATGTTATCAGGGAAAACACTGGGAATGTAAATAACAAAACAATAGATAAATAGCTTTCATGATAATGGCTGTTCAATAACTGTTGATGCACTCACCATCGTGAAAAGAGTTTAAACCTTCACTAGAAGACTGAGTATAAACCTTCACTAGAAGACTTGAGTATAAACCTTCACTAGAAGACTTGAGTATAAACCTTCACAAGAGGGGCGGAAACCCACGGCACCCCTACCCACTTAGCTTAGTGCTACAATCTTGTCTAATGAACTCAGCCTGGATTTTCTTGAGCACATTCATTGAGCACATTCAGTTGAGTCAAGAATTCACATCACAGCACTCAGGGCATTCCCACAAGTGCTCCGTCCCCATCCTCAGCAGCCAGCGCAGAGTTCCAATACTAATGGTGAGTGAGTTTATTCAGTTTAGGCTTAGATTTAGATGATGGATCAACATCATGGCACAAGGCTAGTAACCCATCAGTGCTCCGTTCTACTTCTGACTCAAGCCTGAGTCCAAAGAATCTCAGCGAGGATCCTGAAAATATTTTGAGTCGATTTTTAACTCCAAATTTTGTCCAGGCACTCAATATGCATGCACTAACTGGAAAGGTGTATGGAAAAGAGACAGATGAATGAAAGATCTTTAAAAGCCTTTCATTGAGGCATGGACAATTATCATAACTTTTAAAATCTTCCATTCTACAGAGATTTGAAGATGCACATTTCTCATGCTGCATGGCATGGCACATGGTGATGGTCAAAAGTGGTTAAACTGTATTCGCTGTGAGAACCCGATCTCCATGGCTAGTGTTTAAGCCATTTGATTCTTTGTAAGGAGTAGAGATCGGCACAGCCAGGCATGAGAGGCACACCAGACATACAAGATGTCTTGTTAGCCAGTAAAGGACTGGCATTATTAACTGTGGGGCGCTGACATATATGCTGAAGGAGGCATCTGAGCACCTATAAATGTGTCCACAGTGCTGTGAAAATAAACCAACTCATAACTCGCTTCTGTAGGTCTTAGGTCATTCAGTTCACAGGTGCAACGTTTTTGGAGACTTTGAAAGAAGTTCACTGAAGCTCATTTTTTCTGTGATGCTCTTGGAAGGTGGCTAGCCATTTTGAGAAGAGACTGAGCGATTTGGCTATGTCTATATCAGCAAGCTCCTTTATAGAACGCTGGTCTCTTCACCGCACACCTGAAAGTCTCTTTCTCTAGCCAATTCTCCAGCCCTGTGTGCTTTCATAGCCACTGCATCTTCAATGTATCCTCGTTTGCAGAGGTCAGCCTCTGCCTTCTTTTCTGGAAATGTACCCCCCATCACGGTTCTCTCAAGCCCTATGTGCTTTCATAAACAATGCATCTTCATGTCCACTTTCGCAGAGGTCAACCTCTGCCTCCTTTTCCAGAAATGCACCCTCCATCACGGTTCTCTCCAGATCACTATGGAGTTTGACATGTCTAAAATATCCCAGTGTTCAGGAGAGGATGCTGTTCATGAGCCAGTTCTCCTTCATGGTCATGTCACACAGGATGTTGATGTTTTTCTTTTTCTTGGTCCATTGTATTGTAAGAATTTTTCTGCAGCATTTCAGTTTGAAAACTGATTATCTTCTAAGACAGTGACAGTCTGTGACTAACATCCATCAGTTGCTATAGGAAACATGCAGAATCTCCAAATGTTAACCCACTTGCAGGTGCTATGCCATTATGGAGTCAAATCCTGTGCAATAAATTTGATTTCCTTGACTTTAAATCTTCAGAATCTGTAACACCCTAGCCTTTATGAACAGATGCCAAATATATACAAGTGCCACCCCTCTATTAGAGGTTAGTGAAAAGGTTTCACCTCAATGTTTACCAGACCTCGATCCCCACAGTGGGCAGTTTAGAAAAAGGCCGCTTTCCATGGCTTTCAGAAAGGGATGAGAGTCAGACCGTGACAGAAAGTGGAGTCTTATCCCATAACATTCCCACAGTTAACAGTGGATACAATATAGCCAACTTCCGTTATGAAGATGGCACACAATGTTTTTTTTAATATGTGCATACAAAAAATCTGTTAAGTGTAAGAAACATTTTCATGCTTCAAGGTGTACTGGGCAAATGGTGCTTGCTAACCATATATTTGTTCAGGCTAACAGGCAAGAGTTATGTGGTCACCTTTACTTTCCAGAACATCTCCTGCTACCCTTTTAGAGGAGAGCTTGGTCGACTAGGAAGCCCCTCAAACAATCCTAGATGGGATCTGAATATATGGCCAAAGGACACTTCATATCATATCAAAATGACTGACCAAGTATGTCTACCTAAAACTTACCTATGATAGGATGAAAGACATAAATGACAACAGCTGGCAGGAAAAGAAGCACTGACAAGTTCAGGATGTAAATGAGCAGCCCAGTCCTGTTACCGATCACATTCTGAAAAGTCAACAGATAATAAACTTGTGTACTATATGTTATCACAATCAACGTCTCTGCACATTGGGCATCGCAATGCATGCTAAATCTTCCAATGCAGCAGCCAATGCAAGGTAACTTTACTGATGTCCCCATCTCCTCGGTCACACTCGTGTATAACACTGCTTGCCACATTTGATTCAGCTGACATCTAGCTATTTTATGGCGTGGAGAGAATGAGGCACCTGGGTGTAACAAGAGGGTCTAGCCGGCTGACTACACTCAGAGGAAAGGCAAGACAGACATATAACCAGTGTGGCCAGTACTATCAGTATTGGAACTCTGCACTGGCTGCTGAAGATGAGGATGGAGCATGCATGGGAAAGTGACCATTACAGTAGAGTCGAAACAAATAAGGCTTATAAAGGTGCCGGTGCTGCAAACCGCCAGAAAAAAAATCAGTGCTGTGATGTCAATTCTTGCTATATCCTTTTGATACTGCTGCTGACATATAGGGCATTCACAAGTGATTACTGCAGCCGGTCTGTTTCTTCCTGCCTAGGGTAACCCATGTCTTTTCACATTTCTTTATGTCCCTTTCTGCAGTCCTCCTGGTTTCTCTAGGTCATCCATGTCTCCTTTGTTTTCTCTCATCTTGTGTCAGAGAGTGCTGTCCTCGCCAAAATGTCACAAGATATATGACAAGCTATCCCAATCATTGTCCTTTGGTAACTTTAGCCAGTGACAAATACAGCACTCTTCTCCTGAGTTCTGCATTGGTGATCTTGTCTGGCCAAAATATTTGCAGGTTTCTCCATCATCATCACATGTAGCAGGTCCTTTGCAGAACATCGCCCCCATCACAGTCTCCCTGAAATAAACTCACCAGCTCTCCCACCTCACACACTTTCATACTAAACAAGTCACATCCTGTGCCAAACTTTATGCTGGTTGGCCCCTGACCTTCCTTCTGTGCCGTCTGCTATTATTTCTTCCAATCCACCATGGAACTTAATAATGAAAAAATATTTCAGCTTCCGAGACACGATGCTATTTATTATCCAGTCTTCTTTGATGTTCAGGTCTTTTATTCTTTGTCCATGGTATTGTGAGAATCTTTCTGTAGCATTTCAGCTAAGTATCTACTTCGAGAAATAGAAACCAGAAAGCAAGTGCACTTATATACCAATTGTCACTATTACTGAGACATCCAAGCATAACTATAAATGCAAAGAGACAGATTATAAACAGCATATTCATTCCAACATTAAGCTACCAGTGCCAAACATGGACACTAAAGCCCTTATACATAAAAAAATCACAACCTGCGAGATGAGATGATTAATGAAACTATCAGGCAAATTGTGGGAATGACACTCTGTACTAGATTTATTGAAAAACAGCAGATCAAGTGGTTTAGCCATCTTGTTAGAATGCAGCAAGATCAAATGCCATCGCAAGCACTACATCTCAGAAGATCAGCTACAAGAGCAAGAGGACAGCCGCGGAAAAATGAATCGACAACATTAAAGACATTCTATGCCTTCATGGCATGACATTAGCCAGTGGCAGCCAGCGTGCACTGGATGCAAATTATTTCTCCCCAGGACGCTTAACGGCAGAAGTGGTTTATGATGATGATGATGATTTTCCTTAGAAGTCAGTATAAAGGAACTTTAATAATGACTTTCCAGTAAGACGAAGACTCAGAACAGCGTGTTTTTTTTCTTCAAACAGCAAGTATGAAGGGTCAGTATTGTCCTTTTTGAGAACTACTGACCAAGTTTCACATTTTGAATACTTATTTCAGTCCCTAAATGATCTTTCACACTCGACAGTCCCAATCAATGCAAAAGCATTACACAGATACAAGTATGTGACTGCTGCGATAAGTGTATAGTGTGTATTGTTTATAATTCATCATGAGGGATACAATAAAATATATAGTTGTGACACAAAAATGTACAGTTTGTGAATCACTGATACAATTTGTGAACATACGGTGTGTGACTCACGAAACAGACAAATCCACAGTGTTGAAGAAACTACTGGCTTAGTGTGTCATCTAATGTATCTTTCTTCCCCTAAGTGACCTCCTATGCTCCAGAGACATCACAAACTGGTAGTCTGGTAGTCTTAGTTTCAGCTTCATAGCAAACGGGTCGCCCCATCTTTGCTCTGCTCCTGTGCCAGCGAAAAACACCCAGAATGTTTATCACAGTCCCTTGTGGAAAGATTGACAGACTGCTGTCTCAGCATATCTAGCATACACTCGCATTAAAGCATATGGTAGCCATCCGAAGTGCTAACACAAACAGTCCAACATTAGAAATGCAGTTCATCATTGATGATAGCAGAACTTGTCGCCAACAGATCAGCAGTTTCCCACGCGATCAATTGTAATCACACACAGGCACTGCCAACATTGACGACTGGCATCGCGCCATTTTCTGAATCTACAATTCACACCACGTTGGTCACAGTCGAAAAAACATTCCAAATGCAATCCGCAGCTCACAGGGTCACGCCATGCATTCAACTCAGAAGCTGGGCGACGAAACTATATCCAGTCTACAAATGGAGCAAAAATACTTCGGCCACCGTCCGGCAGAAGCAAAAAATTTGCCTCCGCTCCGACACAGCGCCGCTGTCTAGCGTCCATTTTAACCGGAAACTTATTACAAACACAAACACTACATTATACTCTTTCCTGCACATCTTTTTTTCTATTGCAGACCTCTTCTTTATGAAATTTTTTTTTATTTCACACCTATCTATTATGACCCCATCCTCCTCTTATCATCTTCCCCTGAGTGACTGTACTCCTCGTGTCATCATCCACTCCATGACCATTCTTCCTCCTGTCCTTATTCCCTCTATGACCATTCTTTCCTTTTGCCACCCTCCCTTCAGTGACCCTGTCTTCCTCTTACCATTCTTCTTTCTATAACTGTCTTCCTCTTGCCATAACCTTGTCTTTTCTTGCACACCTCCCCTATAATCAATGAGACTCACGACAAAACAACCTCCCACAAAAATTATATAGAGTGAGAAACGCTGAACCAAGCCACCTCATAACACATCCACAACACACAACAGGCCGTCTGACCGGCCGCGGCATGAATGGGAGTGGAAGGAACTCTCACTGTAAGGGGAAGTTCATAATAAGTTTCACAATGTTTAACCTGTGCACTGTTGGCTGCCAGCTGTGTTCCCAAGTGTGAGAACTCCTGCTTCAACCTTCCGCTGGTACCAACTGTAGGCACTATTAAAAAAACAACCTATAAAATATTCCGTCAAGGCTTTCTGTTTACATGTGGAAGGCCAGACCATGACCCGGTAACTTCTAACCCTAGGGGGAGGTCATTGATCTAAACCAAGTCAAGGCAGTGCGTAGGATTTTGTTTCTTCCCTTCCCAACACGCAATCAGTAAGTGTACCTTTCATGCACGCGAGACACCAGGTCTGAGCTGATAGTGAACCCAGGACAAGTTTAGAGATAGGGTAAACAGGTTGCAGTTTAGCACTTTGCATTGTGCACAGGCCTCTCAAATGTCAGGTTGTATGCGGTTGGTGGCTGGTGTACGTAGCAAGGTCAGGTGGTACCCGGAGCGGAAAATTTCCTGTCACCAACCTATAGCGCCCCCACTACATTATTATATAAACACATATTTTGCCACCCAATGACACCCGGGGCGGCCCCTACACCAATGGAAATGGGGATTAAGTGTTTACATAAAGATAGTGGCCCGTGTGCCCAATTGGTGATCCTTAAAAAAGTTTCTGCGCACACTTGAAAGCACCAATACCGGTTACTGTGTGCATATAAATTAGCACTACCGGTAGATGGGGACACTAAAAAGTAGCCATACCAGTAGACATGTTACAGAGCACTAATTCCGGTAGACAGGTACACTACAGAGCACTAATACTGGTAGACAGGTACACTACAGAGCACTAATGCTGGTAGACAGGTACACTACAGAGCACTAATACTGGTAGACTAAGGTACACTACAGAGCACTAATGCTGGTAGACAGGTACACTACAGAGCACTAATACTGGTAGACTAAGGTACACTACAGAGCACTAATGCTGGTAGACAGGTACACTACAGAGCACTAATGCTGGTAGACAGGTACACTACAGAGCACTAATGCTGGTAGACAGGTACACTACAGAGCACTAATACTGGTAGACAGGTACACTACAGAGCACTAATACTGGTAGACTAAGGTACACTACAGAGCACTAATGCTGGTAGACTAAGGTACACTACAGAGCACTAATACTGGTAGACTAAGGTACACTACAGAGCACTAATACTGGTAGACAGGTACGCTACAGAGCACTAATACCGGTAGACAGGTACGCTAGAGAGCACTAATACTGGTAGACAGGTACGCTACAGAGCACTAATACTGGTAGACAGGTACGCTACAGAGCACTAATGCTGGTAAACAGGTACGCTACAGAGCACTAATACTGGTAGACAGGTACGCTACAGAGCACTAATAACGGTAGACAGGTTCGCTACAGAGCACTAATACTGGTAGACAGGTACACTACAGAGCACTAATACTGGTAGACAGGTACACTACAGAGCACTAATACTGGTAGACAAGTACGCTACAGAGCACTAATACTGGTAGACAGGTACACTACAGAGCACTAATACTGGTAGACAGGTACACTACAGAGCACTAATACTGGTAGACAAGTACGCTACAGAGCACTAATACTGGTAGACAAGTACGCTACAGAGCACTAATGCTGGTAGACAGGTACACTACAGAGCACTAATACTGGTAGACAAGTACGCTACAGAGCACTAATACTGGTAGACAAGTACGCTACAGAGCACTAATGCTGGTGACAGGTACACTACAGAGCACTAATACTGGTAGACAAGTACGCTACAGAGCACTAATACTGGTAGACAAGTACGCTAAAACACGATCATCTTTAGAAGAGGAAGAGACGGTTTGGGATCAATGTTGGAAAGGTCATGGCCGAAAAACCAAATCCATGCCAAAAAGGGTAACATATCCGATTTCAGCAAAAACTAATTAATCATCTTTTACAACTTTATTGTTAAGAGCAATGGGTCTTTTCTGTCCCCAGTCGTTACTTTAGCTTAAGATCTAGTCAGTCGTTGCTTCAGCTTAAGATTTAGTCAGTCAGTCGCTTAAGATCTAGTCAGTCGTTGCTTCAGCTTAAGATCTAGTCAGTTGTTACTTCAGCTTAAAAGATCAGTCAATCATTACTTTAGCTCCCCATCCAGCCAGCCATTACTTTAGCTCCCCATCTAACCAGCCATTTCATTAGCTCCTGATCTAGCCAGCCATTACTTCAGCTCCACATCTAGCCAGCCATTACTTCAGCTCCCGATCTAGCCAGCCATTACCTCAACTCCACATCTAGCCAGCCATTACTTAAGCTCCTGATCTAGCCAGCCATTACTTAAGCTCCTGATCTAGCCAGCCATTACTTAAGCTCCCAATCTAGACAGCCATTACTTTAGCTCTCAATCTAGCCAGCTATTACTTTAGCACCCAAACTAGACAGCCATTACTTCAGCTCCTGATCTAGCCAGCCATTACTTTAGCTCCACATCTAGCTTTTTATTACTTTAGCTCCTAAACCTAACTTTAACTTCCAACATTATCATTTCAACTTTTGGGGAAATCGGAGTATTTGTGGATTTGTCCAGAGTGCTCTGATGACAATCCTCATTAATCACTTATTGGGCAGTTTTTATTTCAGCTTCTGAAACGAAGAATCATGACTTCAACTCCTGACCCCAAAAAAACATGACTTTAACTCCTGGCCTAAAGAAACATGACTTCAACTTCTGACCCAAAGAAACATGACTAACTTCTGACCCAAAAAAAAAACATGACTTCAACCCCTGACCCAAAAAACATGATTTCAACTTCTGACCCAAAGAAACATGACTTCAACTTCTGACCCAAAGAAACATGGGAACTTAATTTATAACTTACCCCTGACGTCACGACAACGTCACGGGAGACATTCCCAATAAATTCTAGGGTGTTCAGGTTGCAGTTTCTCGCGATTTATCTACAGCCAAGTTTAGGGTTAGGGTTAGGATTAGAAGACACTAGATGAACACTCCAAAAAAAGCACCACACAACAGCACACTTCCACCCCTTGAAATAATGGACTGTCAGGTCAGCTGTGGATTTCCCACGGGGATTTCGTGTTTGGGGTACGTTATAAATTAAGAACCGAAACATGACTTCAACTCCTGACCCAAAGAAACATAACTTCAACTCCTGACCCAAAGAATCATGACTTCAACTCCTGGCCTAAGGAAACTTGACTTCAATTTCTGACCCAAAGAAACATGACTTCAACTCCTGACCCAAAGAAACATGACTTCTACTCCTGACCCGAAGAAAAATGACTTCAACTCCTGACCCAAAGAAACATGACTTCAACTCCTGACCCAAAGAAACATAACTTCAACTCCTGACCCAAAGAAATATGACTTCAACTTCTGACACAAAGAATCATGACTTCAACTCCTGACCTAAAGAAACATGACTTCAACATGTGACCCAAAGAAACATTACTTCAACATGTGACCCAAAGAAACATTACTTTAACACCTGACCCACACAACCATTACATCAACTCCTGGCCAAGAGAGTTATAACGAATTCACAACCCAGACTGTTGAAGCCTCACTACTTGGAACGGAAAGTGTTAATACTCCCAATGGTGTCATATGTCAAATAAGATGAGCACAGTTTAACAGTATCACACTGAGAAAATCCTCTCACACAACTACTGGAGCCTGAGGCATAAGACGAACCACCCAGTGTTTTCCCTGGAGTGGCCTGACGTCAGCAAACTAATGCAAAACAACAGAGAGAAGAAATAATCCCCTAGCTATTGATCGTGAATTCAACATATGTTATTCAAACTCCCGGTTTTTATGGATATTGGTAAACTAATAAATCTTGATCACCGACGAAATCTGCGTGGGCTCAGAACTAAAGCAGTTCACTTCACTCTCTCACTAACACATGGTATTTGACAGGCTCATGTCAAAAGTGAATGCTAGCTATTTCAGTATATCATCTCTCTTTATGTCACTGCCATTTATTATGATGTTCAATATGACATCTCTAATATTTGTTTATTTAAAGAACTGCACCAGTGTCTGCTCCCCTACACTCTCTCTCTTGCATGCACATTTTGTTTCTTCCTTCCCTTTTGGTCACCTATTGTTTCTGGTCCCCGCCCCATTTCTGTCTTCCACTGACTTTTGTCTCCTAACCCTTTATAAATCCATTCTGTATTCCATTTCCAATCATTTTAAAATCTCTAATTTACATCAACTTCTAATTATTATAATTTTATTTTTGCTGTGTGAGTTTCTGAAGCCCCATTGTGGGGGAAACAAGAAGATCTATTGCCCCATTAAAAATACTCGTGAAATGTAGCTAATTGGGTGTGTTTCCTTTGAAGTTGGAGTGCTTTGGCTGAGAGGTGAGGAACCAACAGTCTGCACACAAATAAAGCAGATCTGTACAACAGATGTGCATGAAAAACTCAAGTCCTTGAACAAAATCAAAGTCCAGAAGTGGACAAACAACCAAGACTTTCCACCAGAGTTTACAGCTGGTGAATGGACACTACATCTACGTGAGTCTTTGTAATGTTAACATGCTGATGCTTAGTATTTATTCAAGCCCCATTTGTACATTCTGAACCTTCCGCAGCGCTGAGGCAATATAATTCTTCTAGTTACTCTGTATCTTCTGCTATCTACATTAAAGCTACAGTGATTGTCTCCACTTCCATCTTCATGCTTGAAGTTATAGATTTTTAAAAAAAAAAAACGCTTTCAGCCATGATCTTTGTCTTTACTCTTGCTGAGAAATCGGCAGACTTTAACCAGTGTCTAGAATAGAGGTGTTATCTCCATGCTGACCAAACTAAAGGTTTACAAAGCCGTGATTCTTTCAGTGCAGCTCTACACTTGTGAAACATGGACTATGTATCAGTGCCATGCTAAACAGCTGAACAAGTTTCATATAAACTGTCTCAGAAAGCTGCTGAAAACTAAATGGCAAGATAGAATAAGCCACCACAGCCATTATTCTGGGTTGGTTTGCTAAGTCTTGTAACTGTGTTGTGTACATTTACAGCAGGGCTGCGATATTTCCCCCTTTTAGCTGGCATATCCGACTCGCGCAGGCATTTATTGACCAGGTTCTATGATTATCTGATATGAAAGAAGTAAGAAATTGCTAACAAATGCATGCAATTACTGTTAATATTTACCTGACAGGCAGAAACCAACACTGTTAGACTTGACAATTGCTACAATAACCAGACTAAATCTTACCTTAGCTAGTGCTTTCTCTGTGGCCAAAGCAATGGCTGGATACACAGCTATGGCTGAAAATGTGGAAATAAATTTGGTATTTAAAATAAAATACCTACAGGAGAAGTCTGATTTATATCAATTGGAATAATAAGAAATGTATCTCTATCAAATTTCAAAAATTTTTAAAAAGTTCTGGGAGCATGCATCTTCCTTAAAGCCACAAACGCATGTGAGTTGTTATCTCCCAGTCCTTAACAAAGAAAATAGGGGCTTTCGAGCTGAAAAGCTATAGAAAGATTCTGAGAATACGTGGCCAAAGAAGAGAAGAAAATACATTTTAAAAGATCTGAACATCAAGGAAGATTGGCTAGTAAACAGTATCTTGTCTCGGAAGCTGAAGTATTATGGTCATATCAAGTGCCATAGCGGACTGCAAAACAATAATAGAATAGAAGGTTTGGTACCAGGATGGATGGGGCAAAGGCCGATCAATATGAAGATGGGCAAGTGACTCCTTGAATATAAAAGTACACGAGGCAGGAAAGCTGGAGAGAGACCAAATTTCTTTCAGGCAGACCGTGATGACAGCGGCGTTCTGCAAAGGATCTGCTACAAAATGATGTATCTCTATCACACACTTTTAGTCTCTGTTCTTCCCGCCCCACCTCTCACAAACCAAATTTCACTAATACATACAGTTTTGTTTCTTCTCACAGCTCCTCTATCTCATCCATTTATTGTATAGTTTTTCTTTCTACCTCTACAACAATATAAAGATGTGTGCGAGACATGAATGATACAAGTATTGAAGTGGACTCATGGGGGGGGGGGGGGGGGGGGGTGTTATCATTTGATTGTGTTGCGTAAAGTGGGCACATCAGGAAGGGAATGAGAATGAAAGAAGAAAGACTGCAGAAAGGATGAGAGCTGACCAGAACAGACTAAACACAAATGTTGACAACAATAATTCTGAAATCCCATGCTATAACCGTGAAAGACTATTTTTAATGCAGGCAGGTCTTGATAGCCATACTTGGCTGTGAGTCTCATGCCTCTCTATAGCACAATATAACACTATCATCTAGAAAGACGGAAAGGTGCATATCAATATTTTTCACAAATATTTTCCTGTCACAAACACTACAACTATATTCTAAACGAAAGCAATGACGAAACATTTCACTTACATAAAGTCAACAGCAGATTTGGCCAGTTGTACGGTTCATGGAAAAACCACTTTGTAAATGATAGGTTTATCAAAATGCCATACCTAAGAACAAAAACATAACGTATTTCTCAAAAATATCAATACAAAGTATTTAAACTAGCACATTAATTCAATGATGGAGGCCACAGCCTTGACTAGCAGGGGCAAATCACTCTTTCACTTCAGGATGTCAGGATGGGACACAACACACACAATAAACAATTACAAGCTGCAGTTTCTACTTGATCCAATGTGATCTTGGTATTACCCTGCAGTCAGTCCCTGCTGTTCTAGAAAGATATGGGATCAGCACCATATTATACCCATTAGGACTCAGGAACTATACATTTTTAGGCTATGAGAAGAAATGCAGAACATGATTAGCCAAACTGCTCTCCATTCGCAAAAAGACTTTCCTGAAATGTTTATAATAACAGAACTTCTGAGAGAGATGTGCATTTCCAAACTGAATACTTTCACAAGATATTTGAGATTTTCAGGACTGTCCCTAACAGCCCAGGTTGGGTAATTTGTAAACATACCTTAGATAAACATCAAGTGCAAACATATTTACCCGGACAGTACTACAAGCTGGGCTATCCTCCGACTAACGGTCGGTAAAGATGGCGGCCACAAAATATCCTTTCGAGCCACAGTCACGTGTCAACTGCGCACTTCTGGCGACTTAATTTGCGGTTCTCCTGCAACTACCGCCACGGGGCAACCATGCGGCGTAGATTGGGGCTAAACTAGATGGCTAGGACCCACGAGCAGCAGCTTCCACATCTCCTGAAGCTTTGCTCGTGAGTCCTAGCCATCTAGTTCAGCCCTGACCCACGCCGCGTGAGCGCCGTGGGTGCGGTAGTCGACAGAAAACTGCAGGAGAACGGCAAATTAAGTCACGTGACTGTGGCTCGAAAGGATATTTTGCGGCCGCCATCTTTACCGACCTTTAGTCGGAGGATAGCCACAAGCTGCATCAGGCCCTAACTATAACTTCTCTGAGGTTGAACAGGGTATCTATGATATGCCTTGTTTGTCTGCCATCATGGCTAGAGTTTTATTTAAATTTCAGGGCGGTAAACCTCTGGATTTTAGTTTTGTTTGAAACCTGAGTGTTGCGTGCACATCCGTTTGACAGATCTGACAAACTTGTATCATTGATTCCTTACCTCTCAGTCAGATGCACTCTGACTTCAAAGTATGCATCCTTCCACTCATTAATCGACTCGTAGACATGCTTGCTGGGGAGGCAGTTGGTTCATTCTTGTTTCCTCCACAATGGGTCCTCAGAACCCACATGGGAAGTTCTTAATATAACAAGTCTTTGACAGAGAGGAAGTCGCTGTGGTGTAGCGGCTAGATGCTAGCCTACGGACTGGAAGGTCCTGGGTTCATGTCCTGAAGGAACCTGGCTTTCTTAAAAAAATGATCTTGGCTCCCAGGTCAACACAGTCTTGAGCACCAGGTGCAGCCCTGGGAAGTAAAGGTGGCCACATAATGTTGACCACATCACTCACCAAGTGTTAACTGGTCTACAAAATGAAGGTCTAGCCCTATATGCCCATGAAAGCGTGGAAAAGGGTCCTTTACTTTTACTTACTTTGATAGAGACCAACTTATTTTTACTAAAATGCCTAAGAAACTCTAGAGTTGTCTGGCAATGGAAGTTGCTCAGTACAAAAGAGTGAATAAGGTAAGCTCACTGTTTAAAGAAAACACCTACTTGATAATGTTTTCCAGGAACAGTCTTGCATTTCCCAGCACCTAGATCACAAATTAAACAAACTGAAAATCAGAACCATTTCAACTTTTTCGGTCCCAAACATGGCACCATGTGTGCCTGCATTTACTCAAATGCATCACACTACATATTATCATCCCTATACATCTAATGTTAAGTCAGGGCAAGCTAAAACAGTCAACAACACAACTGGCTCCCATAAAGAATGCGTATTCAGGCCCTGTGGATGTTGTATCCCCATAATATTGATTACACAATTGACTCACATGGGCATCAATAGTAACCTTCTGGAATGGAAGAGTTAATGGCCTTTCTTTTAGAGAACAAGAATATGAAACTTGTCGCTCTGTACATACTAGGTTTGTTGGATTTTTGTTCGTCAAATTTTTTTTTTGGTAAGTGGTCATTACACCTGTAACAGCTTTGGTTCTGGCTGCCACTGCACAGTATGTAGACCATGGGTACAACTGTGTTTGAGGAAAAAACTAATATTATTTGAGGTGAAGTTATGTCATTCTTGTGTCACACCCAAAAAAAAAACATGTCACAGTCAGCGTGGCTATGTACAACAACAAAAAAACATGCATTTCTTGGTTAAACAGAGCGAAAGCAGTTAATTCTTTGCTCTGTTTGCTACTACCAGACTTGATTTTTTGGGGGTCTGAAAATGACAAAATGAATATGATCTACAGGAACATCTGACTACTCTCAACAACAGCTGTTTACAACATAATATGAGAATCAGTACAGAAAAAACAGAAGTTATGAAGATCAGCAGAACACACAGGCCACTGAATATAAATGTTGGAAGTGCCAAAATCAAGCAAACCAAAGAGTTCAAATACTTGGGCAGTATATTTACAGAGGATGGAAGAATGGACAGAGAGATAGAAACAAGAATACAGAAAGCAAATGCTGTCACATACCAACTATCACCTCTGCTTAAACATCCAGATATAACCATGAAGACCAAAAGACAATTGATAAACACCATCTTCATTCCAACACTCTGCTACCAGTGCCAGACATGGACAATCAACAAGACCCATGAAAGAAAAATAGAAGTCTGTGAAATGAAATGTCTAAGAAAAGCAGCGAATAAGACCAGACTAGACAGGATAAAGAATATAGACATTAGAAACACTGTCAAAACTACACCATGTTTAGACTACATAGAACATCAAAGAATGAAATGGTTTGGACATCTAACCAGGATGAAAAATGATCAAATAACATCACAAATTTTCAACCAAAGAAGCTCAGGATATAAGGCAAGAGGAAGACCAAGGAAACTGTGGATTGACGGGGTCTCCGAAACCTGCCAAAAGCATGGCCTCAGAACATCAGATGCTGCCCGCCTTGCTTATGACAGGAACTTGCATCTCCCCACAACGCTTAGCGGCATACGTGGAAGGAAAAAGAAAAAGTAAAAAGTAAGTAAGAAAATGACAAATTATATTTTATTATCTTGTGACCTGTGTTTGTTTATTCAACGGATCAGCATCATGGCACACGAGTGAAACCCATAAGCGCTCTATTCTACATCTAACTCAAGCCTGGGTCTGAAAAATTACTAGAAGTACACGTGAAAAAATCCCAGCCTTCACGGGGGCTTGAACCCTGGACCTCCAGCACTCAAGGCGGATACCATGCCAGGATGATGCAAACACTAGCAGATCTGCCTGTCTGCTTGGCGATCATAGGTTTTAATCAACATAAGACTGAATTTCTTCTGCTTCTTCTTCTCTTCCTAGGATGCATATTTTATTTATTTTTAACGACATTTTTAAAGCGGTTATTTTTACTATTTTTAAAAGATTTGTAGTGGTGGAAAGGGTTAAAGAATTTCCATGTATTTTCAAACACCGGCTGATAAATTACATGCATAAATGCGAAATTCATAATCGGACAGTGAACTGGAGAAGCCCAGGCATTGACACAGACAGATAGCCTGGCCATGCAAAACCTAACATCAACAACATGTGACTGACATTTTCCCCCCATTTAAGGACTCCCAAATTGGATCTTTATGAAACTAATTCCGTCAAAACAAAATGAAGAGTAATGGTAGTCATGCTAATATCACGAGGTAAATAAACATACAAGTCTGCATTCACCAACACAAAATAAACTTACAAGTCTGCATTCACCAACACAAAATAAACATACAAGTCTGCATTCACTAACACAAAATAAACATACAAGTCTGCATTCACTAACACAAAATAAACATACAAGTCTGCATTCACCAACACAAAATAAACATACAAGTCTGCATTCACCAACACAAAATAAACATACAAGTCTGCATTCACTAACACAAAATAAACATACAAGTCTGCATTCACGAACACAAAATAAACATACAAGTCTGCATTCACTAACACAAAATAAACATACAAGTCTGCATTCACTAACACAAAATAAACACACAAGTCTGCATTCACTAACACAAAATAAACACACAAGTCTGCATTCACTAACACAAAATAAACACACAAGTCTGCATTCACTAACACAAAATAAACACACAAGTCTGCATTCACCAACACAAGTTCTGGTAGTTCACACACTTCTGGACTCTTTATTTTAGAACTGAGTTGTGCGTGCACATCCATTTGACAGATCTGGCTTACTTGTAGGCAGGAGTTGGTTCCTTGTTTCTCAGGCCCATGCATGCCGACTTGGAAGAAGAAACACCTAATCAGTGGCTTTTTACAACATGCTTTTTAGGGGACAGGTGGAATCATACACACCCCCCCCCCCCCACCCCAACTTTTCACTCGCCCCAGGAATGATGAATAAAATATGGCTATCAACATGTGGGTATTTTCAACAACAAAATTTTATTTTAAAAAAAAAATTTTTTAATTTTTCTTCCTAAAGTCCATGCCATGTGGCATTGGTTGTCTGCCTCCAGTACTTTCAATAGACTCTGACACAGATGATCTTTCATGCCACAATGTCAAACTATCCAGCATCTTTTCTCCCTGTTTCCCTCTGTCTATTCTTCCCTCAAACATTCCTACCGTAACAATGTACTCTAGTTTTCTCCTTCTCATCACATGACCAAAGAATGTAGATTAACTCTTTCTGATGTGGGCAATCAGTTTGCTTCGTGACTCAGCTTCTACGTTTTACACAAGTCAGAATTATTGTTGTAGAATATACAGAGTCAATAAACATGAAAAGAGTAAAACTTTAAATGAAATATATTATCTGAGGACTAAAATATACACAGGATCGACTGACTCACGTCAGGATCCCATAGGAATAAACTCACAGGGAGCAAGTACAGCGGGGATCTACCAGTTGTCAGTAGAAATTATCCTCGTCGACACGCGTTTCGGCCCACGATTCCTAGACGCATTCGGAGGTGGGCCCTCCTGAGTTCATGAAGCTCAGGGCTGGTTCCCTGCTGCACGGAATTACCAGATGGTGTTTTACTTTCGGCCAGAGACAAGACGACTTGGTGGTTTCGTAGAAGGTACTGTGAGATAAGAAGTCGCTGCGGCAGCCTAATTAAAGCAGTCAGCATGCCTGGACGACCGAGCGACAAGCTTACGATTGGTTTACCGGACACATGTTGGACTTTTATTAGCATTTGGCAGAGGAACACTGGCAGACAATTCGGACACGATGGACTTTCAAAGGGGTGAGAAACCCTTTTCCACTAGACACCCGGACCAGCTCACCGAGGCCCGTCCCCTACGTTGTTGTGCTGCGTCCAAAGCCAGCTAGAGGCCCTTTCGGCTACCTCTCCCAGTTTTTTGAGTGTTCGTTTCCGTTCATTACCGCGCAATCCTAGTTCTTTCACCACATTGTAGAGCGAAGTGGAAACGAGGCCTCTCGCTCCCACTTCGACGGCAAATACCCGTACCGTGTAAGCCTCGTTTCTCCTCAGACCGGCTGCTAAATCACTGTACTTCTCGATAATATCTATCAATGAATCTACAGGAAACTTTCATGTCATAATGCTTAAAAAAAAAAATGCACATCTGGGACTCATAAATACAGCACAGGCAAAAATACAACCAACAGTATTTAACAATACTTTTCAAGAACCGGCCACTGCATAAATGACTATACATCTGTCACAACCGGAAGTAACTAGATTTAGGTTTCTCAAGTAACATGAATGAAGCTTTTCCAAGTCATAAAGTGTTATTGGGTATATGGTGGTAACCCAGAGTCTTCAATTAATATGAAAGGTAAGCAATATCAGGCCCAATGCCTTTTCTTCCTATAACATTTCCTGGTACCTGTGATAGGCTGGGTTGTCAAGGCAGATAAGGTCTATTTTTTTTTTTAATACCCCTTGAATGAGATATTGAGCACACGACCACTGGACAGACAGGCAAGCATGTTAACCACCTCACCACCCTTGCTAATACTGCTTAATAACGCACCCTAGTAAGTCATCGTTAGTTGAGGTTCCAACATCCCTGCATATGGGCTGCCCCATGAATGCTACCTTACTGCGACACTGGACATTACCACACACACAATGTCCTTCCCTGCCGCATTTGAAAATTAGCGAAAAACCTGTCAGTCCCAGCACAATCTTGAAGACTTTACACGCAAAGTAAAAAGACAGCTGAGGGATGTGCCAACTCCAACAGTCCCACATCAGAACTGCAGCTCACTGTTGGAGCAAGTGCTAAAGTAATTACCAGACAACAAAAATATGATTAGTAAAAGCAGCACAACAGAATTATTCTTCTGCATTTATCTTTAAAAGGGCACTTGGCTGACATGCAAAATAGTGGTTGACAGCTAGGCTGTGATGACTATGTCTTTCACTCCTTTACATCAGATTTAAGCAAACTGCTAACCAGTTGCATTTCATGACATGCTTGTTGGAGGCAGTAGATTCCCCCCCTCCCCCACACAAATATAGGGCCCCAGAACCCACACAGGGACACAAAGAATAAATACACACCTTTCAGTCTTGAGGTATGACATGGAAAAACATAAATAAATAAACAGGTCTTACTAGGAGGATGAAGCAGAGGTTCAAGATGCCATGGTAGTTAGTAAACCCACTTGAAGTGCTGAACAGAGAGTCTGCATGATTGTGTATTCTGTGGAGCAATAAAACATGAGGATACTGTCAAAGTCACAGCTATTCATGCACTTAAATACTGGGGGTCTCCATGGCAAAGTGGTTGAGCTGTTTTCCCCTGCACTTTGAAGGTCGTGAGTTTGTTTCACAAACAAATCATGTAGTTCACAGGGAACGTTTTTATGCAGATTCCTAGACATCATCTGCAGAAAGTGTTCTAATGATGCCTTGCCTTTATTTTTGTCGGACGTCTGCCAGGTGAGGTCGGAGCACTGGAAGTCAGGAATGCTCTTATTTGTGTGGGCACCATTCATACTTTTATGTAGTCACCAGAACAGCTTCAGTGATTTATCTCTGCTTATTCTGTGACACACTTCTGTCCACTTCCCACGTTTAACCTCAGCAACCAGTTTTTTGAAGGAACTGACTTTTATGTCTATGTCTCTTTGCAGGCTCAAGATATGACCAGGCTGGGCGACTCTGTTGCGTTTGGAATTTTGCCATCTTCTCACAGCACTTTACAACTAACATTTACAACTAGTGCCGGCTGTCTCCATATTTTCAGTTTACAACTGGTGCCTGTTGTCTCAATATTTTCAGTCATTTACAACAAGTGCCGGCTGTCTTCATTCATATTTCCAGCTGTCTATTTTCTGTCATTTACAACTAGTGCCCGCTGTCTTTATATTTTTACTCATTCACTTATGATCAGCAGCAGCTATCTGCATGCTTTCAGTCATTTCATTTTGAAAATCTGCCCGGATGTGGATTGGAACATGAGAACTTTTTAGTCAAAAGGCGAGTCTCTAAACATTGGCTAGCATAACAGGAGTCAGGCTATTAGCTAATATAGAGAAACTCAGACATGAAAAAACAAACAGTAAAACACAACAAATGATGACTTACGTTAGCTGATCAGACTTGTCTCTTGGCTTGGGATGCACCATAAACTCTGGCTCCGACAGCCAACATGGCACACAACTGGTCAGCATCCTTCTCCAGCTTCTAAACGGATAGCTGCTAACTGGCAACTCAGGTGAAGCTATTTTTAGCATTTCTCCTCCACAAGATTTACAGTGTTTTCCTAGAGTCTGATCTGTGCCAGAGTTATGCTGGCCGTCCACCTGATTAGACATACTCTCATTACGGAGTACGTGAGACGAACTTGTACGACGGAGCACATCTTTCGGCACAGGTTTCTGTGCTTGTGATAATCCAATATTTGACTCAAGCCTTTTCTTGCTGTCCATTACACAAAGTTCTTCTGTGCACAAATGACCATCGGAATCACAGCTATCAGTACTGCTTGTAGACAATTTCCGAACGGGAGCACTACTCAACTTATTATGACCGGCAAAAGATTTTGTATTTGTCAGTGATGAGCTTCTTTTCCTCAGTCTGACTTTATTACACTGGTTGTAATGTTTCATCACTTCACTCAAGTTTGTTACACCCATTTTGATATCTTGTAAATTAGTTGGTGTTAAAGATTCTTATCACTTTATCTGTTCAACGTCAAAACTTGATGCATCTGTTTAAAGTTAATACTAAAAACTTAGTTCAAGGTCAATACCTAATGCATCTGTTAAGTTAATACTAAACACTTTTTATGTTCAACGCCAGCACTTAACATCATCTGTTCAAAGGCAATTCATTAAGCTGTAAGTTTAAGCATCAAGTGTTTTTTTTTAAAAGATATAGTTTTAAAAGTTTAACACCTCTGGAATGATATAAATTATTTACTCAAAATGAGTAGCAGACAAGAAAATGGGAAGAAGAATGGAAACGTTTGAAGAGTTACAACAATGTGTAAGACGGTATGTTTTGTCAACAGATGTCTCTGTCTGTGTGGCCAAGCAAGTGTGTTGTATTTAATTAAAAAATATTACTATGTAGCATCAATTTAGCCTTAATTACTAATTAGTAAATTTAATAACATTGTTTTCTTATCTTAGCCTAATGTGTGTGACTCATTCTATTCAACTTTATATCACCGCTGATCAAATCATTTCTAAGGCCACAGCGGACAACAAAAACTTGAAGCCATTTTAATGAAGTTTAAGGAAGTTGCTGAGTGCACGACCTGACAAAAGCTGCAAACTTAACCCTCCAAGACAATGAAGTGGAAAAATAAATATTTAATTTCATGGCTATCCTTCGAATAACGGGCACATGTTATGGCGGCCAAAAACACACACCTGACGGGCCTCATTCACATGTACACTGCGGACATCGGGCGACTTGAATTGCGGACCTCCGCTACGCACAGTGTGGAGCTAAACTAGATGGCTGGGATTCACGAGCAGCAGCTACCGCATCTCCTGCAGCTTCCTTCATTGTATTTGCTCATGAGTCCCCGCCATCTAGTTCAGCACCCCCCCCCCCCTCCATGCCGTGCGTAGCGGAATGGGAGATACTCTCGGCGGTGGCAGAAGTCCGCAATGTACATGGGACTGAGGCCCTGTTAGGGTATATTTGTGGTCGCCATAATATGTTCCCGTTATTCGGAGGATAGCCAATTTCACTAATTTATCTAAACGTTTCTGTTTACTCATAGTTAACTACTAACACAATTATTTGTTGTCATGGTATTCTAATATTTCTCAACATTCTGTGGTCACTCTGATGTACATGTGGCGAGGCAGTTGCATTAGTAAGGTCTGTTTTAATGTGTGACACTTGTGACATTTTAAAACTGCATTACAACCTCTTGATCCTCTAACACTAAACCCCCTGGGACTGAAAGAGTTTACGTTTCTTTTAAACACTGATGATCAAGTCTAGATGGTGACCAACATGTGTTGTAGTCGACTTACTTACTTAGTTGATCTTCTTCTTGTAGTCGACTTACTTAGTACCTTGAGGTGTAGATGTCTGCCAGAGAAATCGATAGACGTCTTTATCAGCAGTTTTTTTCTCTAGCTTTGTTCGGTCCCTGTACTTTTGTCATTAAGTCAGGGACTGTCAGTCGTTTTCTCCTTGAAACCTTGGTTCTCCATGGTGGGTGATTCTCTTCCAATCTGCAAACACGCCCAAACCATGATAACTGTGACTGTCACATATCCACTTTAGTCTTGAGGCCTGGGTTTCAAGACCACAACCTATATATATTGTCTGAACCGTTGTTCCTTCTTGTCACTTGACCTCTTTCCACCGTTATTACATTTCTGAGGCCTGAAGCTGGCTTCTGTGAGCTGTTGTAACTGCGCATGACTCACACTCGTAGATCACCACTGTATTCGACACCCACACACACACACAAAATCCTGCTCAGATAAGAATCTGAAACTTACTCAGGATAACGGCAGTCGGACAAATGCGAATAAACAAATTAAGAGATAACATCTATCTAATGAATTCAACTGCAAAATACCGCTAAACATCGATTTAGCGCCTAAATTACGCCTAAGTACTAACGTTACCCACATGACATCCGTACATCCCGTCATCAAAATTCACAGACGTAAATTTAAACTATTTATTAAATTAAGAATTAGAATCTGAAATTCACTCACAGCAACGACGGCAGATGGGCAGTAATGAACAATCGACTTAACTAACGGATAATATCTCAACTATGAACTATAAAACACTAAAACAACTAGTCTAAACGATCGCTCAGACGAAAGGCGACGTCCTGCTCCCATCACTGACATTTCACTTCTGCCAAACATGCAGAAGTTAATCTTCCAAGAAAGCGGACGTTGACCAATCAGAGGCGGGGGTTCCCTCAACAATGGAAAATTGTAAACAAAATCTGCTATATTTAGTAACGCCATGTCCTAGTTTCGTGAGTGAGGCATGTTTTGGTTCTGCTGGGCCAAGGTTGTGCTGGGGGGGGGGGACAGGGCGACGACGTCGTCGGCTAGAAAGTTGAGACATGAACTCCATAAGTAAATGTCATCTTTTCTCGCTTTAGGCGGTTTAATTACAGATAGATGTCATGGTGTCAACAAACTCAGTCTAACTATTGCTTTTCTTTATCACGATAAACGAAGGGTTATTATAACAAATAACACGAGACAGTAAACAGGACAAAGTAGGGAAATCGCTGGGATTGGGCCAAGTATACTGTGGCCTTGTGCCACTGGTTCGCTGCAGTAGCCATGAAAGCCATCCTGGGTCACCCCGGGATTCTTGTGAAGTTGCCATAGGCCTAGCAACCGTCGGTGAATTTATTATCCTTACCTTGGTGTGGTGGCTAGACTGTCGCATGCAGGTCCGAAGGTAGTGGTTTCAAATCCTTATGGAGTCGGATTTTTTTTTTTCCAAACATGATTTTGGCTCCTCCCAGCTTTATCCTTTACAGGTCGTATGTCCAACTGGGCAAGACATCGCGATTTTCCCGTTCCGCCCGAATGTCTTACCCAGTTAGACACGCTAGTAACAAGCCGTTGTTTTTACTCGTAAGTCTTACCTGGCGAGACATTTGTTTGGACCACAATTTTGTGGTAATATTCTGTGTAAGCCATACAGGAAACGTTTGATTCTTAATGAAAATTAAAAATTAGGAGTAAAGTAAGGATGGCAGGTACGAGCAAACATACTTGCTTGACAGCAGATCAAGTTATTTCTTATCTAGAGGAAACGGATTCCAATTTTTTTCTTTGGAAAGCGAAATAGATGCAAATGACAGTGATTATTTATATCTTGAAAGTAAAAATGTGTCATCTGAAGAGGAGAATAATGATAGTAATAGTATTGTGTGATAAAGACAGTCGATCGATCTCCGATCTGAGTAATCAGCTGATCAGAGTGCAGCGAGTGAATCAGTGATGAGTCGGTGAAATCAAGTGTTTCTGACATAAATAAATTTATGTTTGCGGTGCAAAATGCAGATGTACAGATTTCAAATAATGAAATACCTACAACAGTTTGTGGTTTCTTTGAACTGTTTTTTTTTTTTACACCTATCATTGAAAACAGTAAACACAGTCATGGAAACTAACTGACTAACAGGCACACAGCGGAGAAGATACAAAGTAAAACCCTTGCAGCATGTTCTTGTTGTGACATACTTGGCTAGATGTTACAACTGTTGAAATAAAAGCATATCTTGGAGTCATTTTGAGAATGGCAATGCAGGAACAAGGAAAGATGAAAGATTTTGTTTCAGCTGAATGGATAAATTATATGCCTTTTTTCAGAAACATATTTTCACAACAAATGTTTGAACAAATTCACTGGATGTTTCATGTGCAACCACCTAATCAAACTGCAAGTGCTGAAACTGGCTGTCTAACAAGAGGAAATAAAATGAAAGACATGGCCCTTGATATGAATGAGAGGTATCTACAATTGTTTATTCCGCATTAAAATATTGTTGCGGATGAATGCACAATCAGTTTCAAAGAACGGTCAGCATTCAGAATGTACAATCCTCAGAAACCTCACAAATAGGGTCTGCGAGTGTTTGCATTAGCAGACTGCCGCACCGGTTATTTATGTACTTTTGAGCCATATTATGGTTCTGCCACAACAAACCAATTGCCATATCCAAGCCTGCCATTCACTGCTAGATATGTGTTGCACCTCTGTCTTTGACTGTTTGACTACACACACAAAATATGGGTGTTGTTGACCGTTTTGATCGTTACTGCAACGGCTATTCCTTTACAAGAATATCTCTAAAGTGGTGGAAAAAACTTTTTTCTGGCTGTTAGAAGTAGCTGTTGTGAGCAGTTTCATTTTATATAAAGAGACACAACCTGGCAAGGCACTTGACCACATACAATATAAAAATAAAAAACTGATCCAGTTTGTTTCAGAACAGCGAGCTTCTCAGTCTATTCGTCGAAGAGGGCGCCCATCAGCCCTGCATGCAGAAGAGAGACTTGACAAGCAACCTTATTTTATTGCCATATTAGAAGGAAAGAAGAGCAGGGATTGTGCAGTATGTAGTGACAGAAAAACACCTAGTCAGAGGCGACAGACAGTTTATCTCTGTGAAACATGCTCGCGTCAACCTGGACTACATCCTCGTATTTGCTTCAAAAAGTACCACACTCTGACACCATATAAATAAACAGCATTTTTTTTTACATTTCTCAAACACTTTTTCACAATAAAAATGAATAAAACATATGGTATGTTCTGTTATTTGCTTGTTACAAGAGCGAATGTAGCCCACGTAAGTTGTGCATGTTTATTTCAAAAAAATATTCCGACCTGGCAACAAGTCAGGTCAAATTAAATTTGGACCTGAAAAGGTTAATGTGCACCAGGTAAAGTCATAGGAAGTAAAGACGGCCGTCGTGATATTGACCACATCACCCATTGGTGTAAAAAAAATGTCTTGGTTCATATGCTCGATGCACAACTGAAATTTACAGAGAGAATAATGAGACAATGAGATATAAAATGAGTTATAAATGGACTGATTATGGTACACTGGCAGGTGGGTAAGTTGTACCCCACCAGGAAATCACAC